GAGAACCAGAGCAAACCCCAGACCTAGCTCGAGGCAGTCCGTAGAAAAGCCTCGACCTGGGGGGCAGCTGTTGTGTGGGAAAATTCACATCGACATGTCAGACAATGATCAGGCCACATGTGGCCCCATGCCTGCCACGTCATTTAGCCCTCGACACCCGAGCCTCATTGGTCTCTCCTGTATGGCAGGAGAGCCGAATGTATAAGGAGACCGAGACCGTTGACCCTATACATAGTCGAGGTCTGTGAGACCAATCCGGATCAAATGACGCAATAAAGTCAGCCGTGAGAGAAGATACCCTCGGCAGAGGTCAGCATAGGCGCATGATAAGTGCTTTAAAATTCACCTTAAATACTGCTTTTGATTTATAAAATATTAAAATATTTAAGCTTTAATTAAACAATTTCATTATTTTTATTCATAATATTTTTTTAATTGGAATTTGTCTAGTTTTTGCTCAATTATTTACAGATGAAAGCGGTGTAAAAAGCCACACAAAAAGAAGCCATGAAAGCCATATTTTCAGCCACCCTAAGTCAGCCAAGCCGAGCCGCGTGAACCGAGTCAAAGCCACAAGCTGAATCTCACGTGGGTCCCAGGCCTGCCCAGCCACTCTCCCGTGCCTTCCTCTCGCGCCATCTCGCGCCTCGCACGTCACCTACATGCAAACCCAGAGGGAGCGCGTCCCATGCACGCGCGATCTCCAGCGCATTCCAACCCAGATTTCGCGTGGGTCCCGCACGACTGCTGCCCACTCCGCACGCGCCACCTGTCTAGCGCGGGTCCCCCACCTGCGATGCCAGCCGAACTTCCCAATGAATGCGCAACAGCTGTCTGTACTACTGTTCACCGCCAGCACACTTCCTCCACTCCGCGTGTGACACGTGGCAATTCTATTCCTTTCCTCCAACCAAGCTTCAACACGTGTCCCTCTTGTGCTGAATCCGGATTTCTTCTCCGCCAGTTGCCAGATTTCTTTCTCAAATCATATATCAAATTTCTCCTAATTTATGTGTAATTTTTTTTTTTTCCTTTTCTTTTGTAATTTTCTATTTTTATTATTTGTTTCCTTATTTGACAGGCAGCCTCTGAACACTATAAATAGAGGGGTTAGCCTAAAGTTTTTGGAAGCTTTTAATATTCAATTTTTAGTCGTCTTGCTGTCACTCTCATATTTTCTCTCTAGAACTTGTGAGAATGTTTTGCAAGCTAGGCTAGAGTTTTCTTGGTGAGGTTAGAGATGAACTTCTGTTGATTGACCCAATTCGGGGTTTTGATTCCTTGTGCGGTAAAGTTCAATATCTAAATGAATTAAATCTCATCTATTTTTCATTTACTTTTCAAAATATTGTGTGCCAATTTTTATATAAGTTCAGTCACGCTTTTCTTATGTATTTTTGTCATGCATTGTTTTGTTATTCAAATTATTTTACAAATTGTCTTTTACTGCAATATTGTCAAATTGATATATTGTCGATTTTAGATAACTTGTAATAATAATATTTCCGGAGCAACATAGTGATTTAATTTATTCGAATCTTTTATTTTGTGAATCAAAACTTGAATTGGTGAACGAAACATTAGGGATTCTCGACACCTTACCATTTTTTTTATTAAATTTCTTCCACACAAATCTTCTCTCCTTTTTATTTGCAACGAAAATCTCAAAAACTCTTTTTTTTCTTTAATATTTCTTGTTATTTTATTATCTCTCTGTGGATACGACTGCCCTTCTGTACTACGATTGACTGCTTGTGAACATCACTTTTGGGTGTTAATCAGCGCAGGTGGCAGAGCACAAGCAACTGGATCCACGTCTCAAAGAAGACCCCTGAGAAGATCAGCCGAATATCCCAAGGTTGCGTCTGGATTTGGAGAAGGTCAGTTGCATAAAAAATGATTACAAGCCCCTAAAACTGCCTAGACGGATCACTAGCTATTACAGGGATCTACAGAGCCATAATGGGGGGGACAAATTGGATGAGTGAACAGTCCAAAAAGTAATGGCAGGCTACGGTCTGCACAAAATAAGCCATAGGCCACTCGAGTGGGAAGGCCCCATGAGGGACACGGTCCAATGGTCCAAACTGCCTACCATTGGGCAAAGACTCATGCAATATCCACTATAAAAGAAAAGAGCCACCGAGAGAGGGAGGGATGATGAATTCTTTCCTTACGCATATGTAACTTGTAATAACAAAAATTAGAGAAATGCAATACAGTGGATGTAGCTCTTGATTAACAGAGTTGACTACTATAAAATTTCTGTGTGTTCTTACTTTCATGAGCGTAATCTCATTTACTTCACAACCTAGCACAAACCCTACTATAAATTCCAACATATTCAGTGAAATCATAAGTTCCAAACTGGTAACCCAACGGGCTACCGAGAGGTAATCCGATAAGGTCTTGTTGACGAAATTCCACCGTCAATAAATTCCATCACCAAAATAAAATTGATGCTCTGTGAGTACAATCGACACAAAGCCAGATACAATGCTACGTTTCCATGAAGAATCCTCTTCCGCAAACAAAATTCATTTTGGATCCCATCACCAGAGCAAAATTTGCTCTTTGAGTACAACCCACACAAAGCCACCCAGATCTAGACATCACACTACTGCTGAGATCGGCACGTATCGTCCGCCGCCCAACCCACATCCTAGCCCAGGCGCGTACATCTCCTCCACCGCTCTTTCTCATGAAGCCGCCCAGATCCGCTTCTTGTCTCATCACCTAAATTCGCAACTAGTTCTGCCACTACCACTTTGGGTCGCCGCCGTTGTCCAACATTGCCCTTTCACTTCCCTTCTCCTTCTCACATCTGTGTATTTGAACTGTACTTTGGGTGCTACTATGGACAATGACGGAAGGCTTAGGAGGGTCGTGGGTGTTCATGGTCCCCCTGACTAAACGCTAAATTTTTTTTTAATATACTAGAGTTGTTTGTGTATTGTTTAATTAAATCGTTTTTTATTTTTTAAAATTAAAAAAAAATAACATGATAACCATATTTATTATTTTGGTTTTTTTTTTTTTTAAATTGTTGTCAAAAATGAAAAATTAAAAAAAAAAAAAAACATGTTTTTAAAAGATCTATATACTCAAAAAAAAAAAAATCTTATTTCATACTTCTCCTCTTAAACCTTTCTCGTTTCTTCACTCTCTCTCGCCCTCTGTTTGGCTCGTGAGAAAATGCAGACTCTCCAACTAGATTTCTCTTTGAAAAATTTCTCAAATCTTTTATTCTTTCTCGGATTATTAGAGATAAGAAGTACAAACTCCAATCGAATTTCATTCATTCTCTTTGAAAATATTTTTTTCATTTAGGGTTTAGTTTTCAATTCATTTAGGGAAGATTTTGTGATCCTTTTTCATTTAGGATACATAGCATGGCAATCTGTTTAAAATTTGTCGTTTTAGCACCCCTTTGTTCTTATTGTTGATTAAGGGATTGAACTGGGTTTAGTTAGAGCGAATTGGACTGCCTTCATAAAGGCTCTAGAATTTCTATTAGTTTCTATTGCGTGGGTGGTGAATCTTTTATTGCTTTGTCTTAAATTGAAATTTTGAGGTATGTGAATTTAACATGATTGTTGTTCTTTTATTGAGAAAAAAATGTTACTTACAAGTGTATAAAATATTCTTTTCATTTTTACATGTAATATTGATATTTTCATATGTTGATATGTTATGAATTTAATAAACAGAAGTCGTTACATATGTAGATGTTAGTATAATCATGATAAAAAAAAATTTGACCCCTCCTACCAAAAAGTCCTAATTCCGTCACTGGCCATGGATTATGTAGTTCTTGTCGCAAATTTGGATTTTCTTCATCTGATTGTTTGGCTTTTATTTTTTTTTTTATTTTTTTTTTTTTTGAGAATATCTGATTGTTTGGTTTCAGTAAGATGAACGCAAATATTTTTTAATAATAAATTTGATCTAAATTTGTTTGGTAATTTTTAATAATTAATCTTTTCTTTTTTTTTTTGCTAGATAATAATGAATCTCTTTTGTTAGCTTAATTTAGTCTTAATGTTTTAAAAAAAAAAAAAAAAAAAAGTGCCCCATCATAAATCTGTTGACTTTATAGACAGAATTAAAAAGAAAAGGCAATTTGATCTATTTTGTGTACATCAAAAGGTGTTGTGAATTATTTTAACAAATTAAAAAATACTTTGAAATAAGGAACATAATTCAGAGGGTATTTATGAAAATAATTCTTAAAAAATGATAATGAAAATTTCATAAAATTTTTAAAAATTAAAATGAAAAAAAGGTAAAATGAAAAAAAAAAGCTTAAAAACAATAATCAAACGTCAAATATGCTTGATTAGAAAAAAATAAATAAATAAATAAATAAATAAATATTCAAACATGTTCTTCCTCCTACATCATAAACCCATAATCCCATATCAAATCTACTTTTTCTCTAGTGGCCAAAAAAAATAAAATAAAATAAAATCTTACTTTTTCTCCACCAAAAACCCAAATTTGAAGAAATAAATATGAAAAATCAATCAAATCTGCATCTTTCATTTTTTACTATTAGAATAATAGAAATGCATTGGAGATGTTTTTAAGTGTTTTTTTTTTTTTTTTTTGGCTAGTAATGCTTTAAGTGCATGAGAATAACATATATTAGTACTTGAGCAAGTTCCATTTAATTTAAAAAATATATATTTACTATTCTTGCCCTTTTTTATTATTTTGCCCCCTTTTTTTTTTTGTCACAAACTTGATTCAAATTTAAACATTCAAAATGTTTAATGTGTATTACACTCCTAATTTTAGTTTAGAATTTTGGGTAATTCAAAAGTTTCTTGATTCATGCCTGTATATATAATTCATAATATACAACGGATCCTAAAAAACACGCACATTTTTGAAGGGGTGTTTTAACTTTTAAGGTTGTTTTCTTTATTATTAATAATTGGGAATCTCTTTTTATCATTATTAATGTTTCTTTGTATTTTCTACCAATAATAGAACCAGCCAACAACCGGGCGACTTATGAGCGGCGAGAAGAGAAGAATGACGTATTAATCGGGTCGGATTATGGGGCGGGGCCCCTTAAAGGCCTTCATATGATTATGAATCTTGATCTTATTTTTATGTCGGAAAACATTGGTGTTCTTGTTGTTCTTGACTTCTTGTTGTTGTTGCTGCTGCTCGGACTCGCATACATACATCCATACATCCGCATCCAGATCGGCGATTCTCCATTGACGCATTTACAAGCAAGAATTAGGAGAAAAGATTTCGAAGCCCAATTCTTTTTGCTGGTTTGTGTTCTGAAACCATTCCTTTTTTCCTTACAATATTACAAATCCGACTTAAATTTGTGTTTTTGCTTTCCTAATTCTAGTACATATAAATAGATATCGATAATCGATTAGAGTAAACCGATTATATTATTATTATTATTATGGTTAATGATGAAAGCAATGAATACATAATGTTTGGTTTGATTTGGTTTGGTATTGAATGAAACAAGTTGAATGAATTGTGTGATCAGAATTAGGTGGTGGTGATGATGGCGGCGATGACTGGGAATGGGAATGGGAACGTTCCAAGCAGCGGCAGCAGGAGCAGCTCTGCGATTAATGATAACAATGATACGGAGGACGACGGGATGATAGCTGTAGTGCTATCCGAAGAATATACCAACCTCGACGCCGCTAATTCTAATACTGCTCGCCTTCCTAATCTGGCTCCTCTCCCTGTCTGTACTACTTTTACTCTTCTAAATTATTTATTAGTTGTATTATAATCATTGTTTGATTGGTTTTATGTAGATTAAATATATTGCCTTTTGATTTCAACTTGATCCGTTAAACTATAAATTATCATCTCATAGTATGGATTGACTTCAGCACGTTCCTCGGATAAACTCGTACATCCCGACCTTGAGTGATGCGAGTTTGGATCACCAACGCCTTCTCCAGAGGTTAAATGTGTATGGTTTACTTGAAGTTAAGGTCTCCGGCGATGGAAATTGCCAGGTTTCCTTTCTTTGCATTCATTCCTTTCATAATTCGTTCGCTCGTTCATTCAATATTGGCATTCTCGGCATTCATTCCTTTCTTGATGTTCTGCGTTGCAGTTTCGTGCACTTTCAGACCAGATGTATCGTTCCCCCGAATATCACAAACATGTGCGCAAAGAGATTGTCAAACAGGTATGTACCTGTATTTTCTTTTCAGATGAACTACTAGCTTTGACTTAATTACAACTACACTCCTTTTTCTTTACTCTTAAAGCCAGTGGCTATGTATTTCGGTTGCTAATAATGTATTCCTCACTGAAAATTTTCTTTGCAGCTCAAAGACTTCCGCTCCTTGTACCAAGGCTATGTTCCGATGAAATACAAACGTTACTACAAGAAAATGGCCAAGTATGTCTGTCATTTTGTCATACTTTTGTATGTATTTTGACTTGGTTGGTCGTACATCTACTTAGCTTAGCTAAGAAGAGCTCAGTAATTTACCACATTATCTTTATATGCAGACTTGGCGAATGGGGCGACCATGTTACTTTACAAGCAGCAGCTGATAAGGTCTGGTCTCCTATATATGCTTCAAAAAAAAAAAAAAAAAAAGGTAAATATTATAGTTTTGTAGCGTATTATATATGATTATTAAGCTTTTATTTGCGTTATGATGCAGTTTGAAGCAAAGATATGCCTTTTGACCTCATTCAGAGACACTTGTTTTGTTGAAATTATGCCTCGACATCAGGCACCTAAACGTGGTAAGTTAGTAGCACGCATGCGTACATACATACATGCATACAGACATGCATACATACATGCTTGCTTGCATGCATACATGCATGCATACATACCCTTGCTCCTTCATCTCCATGAGAGATTCAGATGAAGTAATATGGTCCTTCGAGCTTTACTTTATCGAGGCTTATATTACAAAAATGCTGTTTAAGAAGAGGAAGATGAGATCCCTGAACGATACCTTACTAATTAGAACAACTTTTACAGAGCCTCATAACTCAGAATGTAATATTACCTAATGGTGTGAAAAAAAAAAAAAAAAAGGGGCGAAAAAAACCAAGCAAAGCAAAGCAAAAAAAAAAAAAAAAAGGGACGAACAAAGCCAAGCAAAGCAATGCAAAACAAAACAAAACAACCTAGTGGTGTGAAAGCAAACAACATAAACAAAGAATGTCCGGATACTCTGAACAAAACAAAATACCAAAATATTGACATTGATCTTGCTCTTTTGAATCATGCAGAGTTGTGGTTGAGTTTCTGGTCTGAGGTTCACTACAATTCATTGTATGAAATTCAAGGTTTGTTTGGGGTTTGAAATTCGTTTGTATTATCAATTAGAGCTTCAAACGTTACTTTTCTTTTTTGTTCTTTTCTTTTCTTACCTGAAGTCAAAGAGAAAACAGCATTTCAAACATGTATTACCTAAATTGTTCTTTTGCAGATGCCCCTGTTCAGCAGAAGCCGAGGAGGAAACATTGGCTGTTCTAGTTTGTTTAAGCAGATTTGTCGAAATCACTCACTCAGGTTGCTCTGAGAATAGCGTGGTGCATATGTTGTGCTTGTTCCGTACATGTTTCTGATTCCTTATAGAAGGTTCTTATTTCTTGATTTAGTTTACAAAACATATATGGATAAATATTTCATTTTTGGCCTGTCCAGCTGTAAATTTTAGGCGTCCTTATTTATACACACACACGATATATTTTACGATTTGATTGTTTATTCTTTGTAACGTAAGGATCGAATGATTATTCGTATGTTGTATGTGTATATTATTGGTTGAGTGGAATTATTTGGTTCTTCCTCTTGAGAAAAGAGTGTTGAAACGTCATCAATATAAAAACTGTTATTGCGTAATGACAAACGAGAGAAATCGGGTTTTTCCAAGGTTCTTCTCATTACAAATTCTTTAGACGGAGGAAGAAAAAAAATAGGTAGGCATGAAAATCAAAAGAGAGAGAGAGAGAGACAGAGAGAGATTAAGGAGGCGGATGATGGTCACTTCATTTCCAATTGTTGGCGACAATGTCAGCCAAGTCAACGACCCTCTGGGAGTAACCCCACTCGTTGTCGTACCAGGCAATGACCTTGACCATGTCATCTCCCATAACCATTGTCAAAGAAGCGTCGACAGTGGAAGAGACGTCAGTGCATCTAAAATCGACGGAAACGAGAGGTTCATCGCAGACGGAGAGAATGCCGTTGAGCTCCTTCTCGGCACTTTCTCGGAAAGCAGCGTTGACCTCCTCGGCGAAGGTCTTCTTGGAGACCTGGACAACAAGGTCGACGACAGAGACGTTGGGGGTGGGGACACGTAAGGCAATGCCATTGAGTTTGCCTTTGAGAGTGGGGAGGACAAGGGCCACAGCCTTGGCTGCACCGGTTGAAGTGGGGACAATGTTGAGAGCAGCAGCGCGAGCACGGCGCAGGTCACGGTGGCTGGCGTCAAGCAGCCTCTGGTCACCGGTGTAGGAGTGGGTGGTGGTCATGGTTCCCTTTATGATGCTGAACTTCTGGTCGAGCACCTTGACGAAGGGCGCAAGGCAGTTGGTGGTGCAAGAGGCATTGCTGATAATAGGCTCGTCGGGGTTGTAGGCATCGGCGTTCACGCCCACGACGTAGGTCGGGATGTCGCCCTTCCCTGGGGCAGTGATCAGCACCTTCTTGGCTCCTGCCTGAATGTGCTTTCCTGCACCCTCCCTGTCCACGAACACTCCGGTGCCTTCAATTACTAGGTCGATTCCCAAGTCCCTGCAATTATAACACTAGTAGTCAATTATATATGTGGAATACTCACTGCAATTTATCACCATTATATTGGGAATGGAAGATTATGTAATGTACGTGAGAAAATTATTCTACTAATAGAGTAATATATATATATATATATATATATATATATATATATATATTTTTTTTAATATATATATATATATATGTTGTCATTATAACTTACTTCCATGGAAGATTGACGGGGTTCCTATTAGAGACAACCTTGATGACCTTGCCGTCAACAGAGATGCCGTCAGTGCCAACAGGCTTGACGTCGGCGTTGAAGATGCCGAGGGTGGAGTCGTACTTGAGGAGGTGGGAGGCCTGCTTGATGCCTCCGGTGTCGTTGATGGCGATGACATCAAGAGGGGAGTCCTTACGGCCGTGCCAGCACCTCAAGAAGTTCCTTCCGATTCTTCCGAATCCATTTATGGCAACCTTTAGCTTTGCCTCCACTACGCCTTTCTTGTATCCCCCGCTGCTTCCCACCTTCATTCATTCATGCATTCGTTTGTTTGTTTAAAACATCATATCACCAATAACTAACAACTCATCATGTTAACTACTACACACACACATATATATACACACACACACACACATAGCAAACATTATAATGTGATGACCAACCAAATCAAATGTACGAAAGCATCCGGTGCTGATATTCCATCAGATGTGTGTGTGAAAATAAAACAGAAAGGTCAGAGGGTAATAACGTCGTAGTTCCAGTGCATCGTCATATTTGTAATGATTATTGCATCACCAATAGAGACAGAAAAGAAAAGAAAAAAGTAGAATACTGACTGCAGATGTCTGGAAGGCAATGACAGAGAGAAAGTCGTCGGAGGAAGCCTTCCTGGCGAATGGAAGGGAAGCGGTTGAGCTTCGGAGTCCAGAGAATTCCGAAAACCCCTTCCCGCTAGCCTGAAATATTAAAGCATGAACATGAACATGACATGATATGACATGATATGGTAAAGCATGCATATTACATACAAGGAACTAGTAAGAATGTTGTGTTGAATTACAAGTAGAAAAGTAAGAAAAGAGATGGGTACCTGAAGAGATGGTTTGGCGACAGAAAGAATAGCGGAAGCCATGGCGGGCGCTACCAACAGCTAGCACCTCCTAATAACTAGTTGACAGAGAGAGAGAGAGAGAGAGAGAGAGAGAGCTCTGCTCCAGTCTCTAATTGGAACCAACTGTTGAAGTAGCGAAGCCAAAGACAGAAAAATTAGCAGCTTCTTCTTTTTCTTTTCTTTCTTTCTTTTTTTTTTTTTTATAAATAAATATATACCACTTAGTTCATCACTACTTTTTTTTTTATTTGTTAATGTGTGTGTAGAGGCAAGAGCCAAAGAAGAAGAAGGAAGAGGGATGAGTGATCAGTGACTGAAATGAAAGCAAGAGAGGATGAGATTGTGGATAGCCTCTCATTTAACGTATGGCTCTCGTTGCCGCTTTGTCTTTTGCTTCTATACTTCTAATTCCTTCCACTCTTTTCCTACTCTTTCTCATTATTATTAATTATTACTATTATTATTATTATTATTATTATTATTATTCACAATTATATTACTCATCCATTTCTACTACCACTAGTCTACTGAACTCTATGCTTGTATACTCTTTCTACTAATCTGTTTCACGCTTATGTTCAACGCATTCTTTTACTTCTGCGTAAAAAGAAAATTGTGTTTAATCTTAAAAGGGTGATAACTTTATACACTATTAACAACTCATGTTGAAAGTTTTTTGTTTTTAAAATCGATATAAAAATGAAAATGATAATTTTTTGCTGCATTTTTTTTTTCACCAGACAAGAGTTTTTATGCACATTTTGCTAGCTAGGCATTGGGATGAATTAGAGGAACTCACATTTTAGAGAGTTGACAATCGAATATAGCGCTGCTACAGAAAGAATTTAAAATATATTTAAAAAAAATTGTTGTATTTATTTTTAAAAGTGTATAGATTTAGATTTTTACTGGTTAAAAATTTACGGGTAAAAATGGTAACATGGACTTGGAGACTTTTGGGCCGCAGTCATGATTCTTATGAGTCGTGGCCTTCCATTCCCCCATATTCTAAGCACCAAGTCTTAGGATCTAATTTTATTAACCCAAAACCAAAAAGATTAAAAGTGGAAGAATTTTTGAGTTTTGACTACAACCATCCAAAGCAGCATTAAATTGAAGGCTTTTTATATGAATCATCATCATCATGATGATTAATCAAACTGTTGATCAATTGGACTGACTGCATCTATTCCTCTTTCTTTTTTCTCTCTTTTTTTTTTTTTTTTTTTTAGTTGTTACACTTACAGATGAAGAATTGGTCCACGTGTACGGCTCTCATTCTCTAACCACTAATTAAAATAAAGATTGGAATATAACACTAATCTCCCTCTCCTGTAAGGAAGACGTTTTGATTGATTATTATCAACTACTAAATTAACAAAATAGAGGCTACAGAGCAACTCCCACTCGATCCTTTGCTTTGCTGTCAGTATTTACTGGCAATCAACAAGAATATTAACAAAGCTAGCAAATAGGAAGGAGAAGGTAGGCTCCCCAAGCCACAAAGAAAAGATCTCCTCTCTTGGGTTAATATTTTTATTGTTTAGGTTAGGGGTCTAGTTCACTTTGAGCGAGCAACCGCCGTAAATCTACAACTGACTCCATTTTCAAGTGTCGCGTTCAAATCGTCCACCCTCGAGTTCAAATAAATAAATAAATAATGTTTTATTCAACTTGAACATAGCCAAATCAAAGGAGAGAGATACATGTATAGGACCAGTAAGAACAAAGGAGAATCTGAACAATGCAGTTTTTGACTTGAAGAGGGCACTTGCTCAGCAGAGAGACTAGTTTGCATAGGTTTGCTTGCGGAGAAAGCTGTCCCTCTGAATGGCGAATGCTTTTGATTTGGACGTTAAAAAAGAGGCCAACTCCCACTAAATCTTGGACCATAAGCCCAAAGTGACCCCCACCCCACCCACCTTTTGAATGGCATATAAATTGAGCCTGAACATGGCACCAGACAGCTGCAAAAACATCTCTCTCTCTCAACTCTCAAACACCAACACACACAAAACTCGGAACTCGGAAGCATGGCAAAGGAAGCAGACTTGAAGGTTTGGAAGTCTTATATCTATTACGTATAGTCAGTCCTCTTTGGTTTTTTTATTCATTGCCCTTTCTTTTTCATATTAGAGAACTCTTACCTCTAAAACAAAAGCTGCATTTCTCTCTATTCCAGAAGGTTGAATTGAAGGTTTTCATCAACTGCTGTGATGGCTGCAAAAGAAAAATTAAGAAGGTTCTTCGGAATGTTGACGGTAAGTAACAACATACATATGCGGAACCTTTTTCTTCAAACTTTATCCAAAACCGTGTGTTATTATATTTCTTGCCCTTCAATACCAACTTCTGGTTTGCTAATTTAACTTGTTTTGAAAAAAACAAAAACAAAAAAAACATAAATTGCTAGGTGTATATAGGATGGAAATCGATCCTCTGCAGCCAAAAGTGACAGTCGTGGGGAATGTGGATCCTCAAATTCTGATAAAGAAGCTTTCCAAGGCTGGAAAACAAGCAGAGGTTTGGAGCCAACTTGGGAATGAGAGTGCCGGACATGCAAAGAGAGAAGGAGAGGAGAAAAGGAATCTTGAAAATGAGGATGAGAAAACCAAGTACCAAGAGTTCCCATGCGTTGCTACGCCTGATAAAACTACTATAACAAAGGAGACGGGGGAAAAAACTACAAAAGCTTCAAACCTAGTCAAGGATCAGAGTTCAATTACTAAGAATGGAAGTGAGACTGCTGACCAGATTAATGTTGTTCCCACTACAAATCCCGTCGTGAATTGGTCCGTTCATCAGAAGACGCGGCCCGTTGAAACAATCAACCAATTAAGGAATTGCAACCCACAGTGTTACTTCGTTGACCCTTACAGCACTGCCACGGCCGTGACCTATCCCTACTATGCCATACCTGCTTCATCTGTGACGGCTCCGATACTAGTCACACCCACACCTACGTGCAACGGCATGCTGCAAAACTACCCATACGAAAGGGCAGTGTTTCCTTTATCATTCCAGACACTAGCACCTCCAACAACACGAGTCGGGGACTATTTCAGCGACGATAACACCATGGGATGTCATATCATGTGAAAGACTGTTGTCATATTAAGGTGTTCGTTTGGCTCTTGTTTTCCTTGAGGAGCATTTTGAAGCATCATTTTTGCAGATTTAACTCTTCTTGCTGCATCTTGCCTCACAAGCTACAAATTATATCTTCCTACAATAGGCTCTTTCCTAGGCTCAAAGTTTTTCACTAGAGTGTAATTGAAGCAAATACAAATCGAAATCAAAGCATCTTATTTCATTTAGTTTGATCAGCAATCAGCATGAAAGCAACATGAAATTTCAAAGAGGGTGCTTGTTTTAGGAGATTTTCTTGTGCAAACTCTCAATGTAAATGGCTACAAAAGCCAATTAATGAATGTGGCAGGCTTAAAATGATCGATCGGTTAGTGTTGCTGATTATTTGCTGGTTGAACAAAAAAAAAGAGCCTAGATTTTAAGAACCGAAGATATCCATTCACTAGCCATCATCATCACTACAAGAACTCAAGCACTTGCATTATACCAAGAGAAGAGAGTCAACAGTGGAACATCCTAAAAGTTAAAAAGTTAAAGACATGGTAAAGAAAGCAAAAGGACAGCGAAATGCATAGCTGATAGACATTGAAGAATTGAGAGTCCCTGGCATTGGCAAATTGGTTGCTGCTAGTGCTGTTCAAAGAGAGGGAAGAGGTGGCCTGTCATACCCTGAGTATCTGGAGCTTGGAGGAGAAGGCGATGGCGACCCAGTCGGGCTGGGAGGAGGACCACTGGAGCTGCTCGATCTCGGCGCCGGCGGTGTAGGCGAGGATGGGGTCGAGGCCGCCGTCGAGGGGCTGGCCCATGGAGGAGAGGTCCCAGATGAGCGCCTGGGAGTCGTCTCCGGCGGTGCAGATGTGGCAGGAGCTATGTGGGGCCCAGGCGATGGCGTTGACGGAGGCCTGGTGGCGCTGCAGCTCGACCACCGGGAGCGTGGGGAAGCGGATGTCGAGGACGACGACCTTGGCGGTGTCCATGATGATGGTGGCCATGTAGCGGGGGTCCTGCTTGTTCCAGCCGAGGCGAACGAGTGGGGTGTCGGGGTCGGAGCTCTCGTAGATGATGGTGGAGTGCTCCTTGTCTCGGAGGTCGAAGACCCTGACGGAGCCGTCGGCGGAGACGGAGGCGAAGACGCCGACGCCGCCCCAGGCAATGTCGTAGACCTCCTTGTCGTGGGCGATGAGCTGAGTGTCGACGGCCTCCCTCTCGATGTCCCAGATGGTGCAGGTGGTGTCGATGCTGGAGGTGCCGATGCGCCTCGGCTCCGCCTCGTTCCAGTCGAAGGAGGTGAGGGGCCCGCAGAACTCGCTGTTCTTGTTGCCGTTGAGGAGGGAGAGGAGGCGGACGCGGGAGCCGCCGCTGTTGGTGTTGGTGTTGTATTCGTCTCCATTCCCATTCCCGAGGTGCGCATCAGAATCGTCATCGTGAATCCTCCAGAGCCTCAAGAAGTCGCTGGAAGTGGCGAGGAGGTCGGGCTTCTGGCACTCCTTGTCGGGAATGAAGATGGTCTTAGTGGGAGGGTAAGGGTGCTCGAAGGAGAGGGCGGGGTCGGAGCGAATCTCGCCGGTGGAATCGTCGAGCTGAACAATCTCGAGGCGGTTGGGCAGCTGCTCGAGAAGGCTGGCAATGGCGAGGCGGTACTTCTTGTCTCGTCGGACGCTCCAGTTCATGGCGTAGATGTGCCACGGGGCCTCGTATGTGTAGATCTCCGACCTCTTCTGCTGCTCGTCCGACCCTTCCTGCTTCACCTCGCTTCCACTCCCTGTCCCCATATTCCAAGATTAATATGTGTATATATATATATATATATATCTCTCTCTGATTCTCTGTGTTTGCTTTATTTGATTCAGCCAAATCCCAACCCCACCGCAGGCAAAAGATTGATTGATTGCTTCAATCACTCAAATCCAAAACAAGTCGAAATGAATAAGAGAGATTGATTTGGGCGTTTGAGGATATGTTGGGGTGGGGTTTTCCCCCTCTCAGGAAAAAAAAAAAAAAATGCGCTTGCTTTTCCAGAAAACGTCCCTATACTATAGAGAAGTACCATTTGGGACTTTTTGCAATTTGACTCCCTAAATTCTGTGTTCTTTGACACTTGAATCCCAATTTAAGAATTTTAACACTAAGAACCCCAAACTCTCTTTAAGGGAAAAAAAGCTACAAGGACATAAAGTGTGTATAATATATATATATATATATATAGGAATTATCTAGTCTGATAAACGTTACTTTTCTCGTTCATTCTTTATGTGTGATACTCAATTTATTTAATTATAACATTAAAAAAAATATAATTTAATTTATGTAATATTAAGTATTATACTTAAATAAATTAAATGTTCCACGTATAAAAACACACCAATATGAAAAATAAAAAATTACATTTTCCGAGCTATATAGGTACCCGATATGTATATGTATGTATATATCTACTTCATTCATTTATTTGTTCTTTTGCTTTGCTGGCTCTCATTTTAGCATTAGGATAAGAGTCTCCGGGATGGGCAATGACGACCACTTATTTATTCTTTCAGTCGGAGTCTGCTCATTTGGTTTTGTACAAAAATAACACAATCCTTGTGCCAAATGTTTTCCGTGTCCCAAATTCATCCCTTTTCGTCCACTCCGACATCAAAAACAAAGTTCGGTTCCGAGGAAGCCTTCACCTTCCTCCAAAACTGCACCAGTTTCAGGCAACTCAAGCAAATCCACGCCAAGATTATCCGCTCTGGTCTTTCCCACGATCAACTCCTCCTCCGGAAAATGCTTCAGTTTTGCTCCACCTCCGGCAACATGGACTACGCCGCTCTCGTGTTCCGCCACCAAATCCCCTATCCTCTCACTTTTACTTGGAATCTCATGATCCGAGCTTACACCTTAAACGCCTCCCCTCGACAAGCCCTCCTCCTCTTCACACTCATGACGTCCCGCGGTTTCCCTCCTGATAAGTTCACCTTTCCCTTTGTCATCAAAGCCTGCACAGCTTCTTCCGCGTTCCGTCCTGGGGACGCCGTCCACGGGCTGGCCATCAAAGCCCGTTTTTCCGGAGATATCTTCGTGCAGAACACGTTGATGGATTTTTACTTCAAGTGCGGAGACGCGCATAGTGGACGCAAGGTGTTTGACAAAATGCGCGTTCGCAATCTGGTTTCTTGGACGACCATGGTTACGGGCTTGGTCGGTAGCGGCGACTTACGCGCTGCCCGAGCGATCTTCGAGCAAATGCCGGCTAAAAATGTTGTGTCCTGGACGATAATGATTGACGGCTATGTTGAGGATCGCCAACCTGAGGAGGCGTTCAAGCTGTTCAGAAGAATGCAGCTTGACAATGTTAGTCCCAACGAGTTCACGCTCGTAAGCTTGCTGAAAGCTTGTACGGAGCTGGGGAGCTTGAAACTGGGAAGATGGGTTCACGATTTCGCTCTTAAGAACGGATTTGAGTTGGATGTTTTCTTCGGCACGGCTCTGATTGACACGTACAGCAAATGCGGTAGTTTAGAGGACGCGAGGAGGGTGTTTGACAAAATGCAAGCCAAGAGCATAGCTACTTGGAATTCGATGATTACGAGCTTGGGCGTTCACGGGTTTGGAGAGGAAGCGCTCGCACTTTTCGCGGAGATGGAGAGGCAGAATGTAAGGCCGGATGAAATTACGTTTGTGGGGATTTTATCCGCCTGCTTGCAGAAAAACAGCGTCAGTGACTGTCGCAAGTACTTTGAGTATATGAATAAACGCTACCGTATACTACCGATTAAGGAACATTATATTTGCATGATTGAACTGTATAGCCGTGCCGGTATGTTGGATGAGGTCGTCCGATTAGTCAATGCGATGCCAGTATGGAGGGGGCAGTTATGCCAATGGTATTGCTAATATATGCGAATTTGGTTTCGGACACGTTGAGGACTTGAATCGGTTAGGAGGTGGTGAATGCTTTACTCCTGATCAACCTAGGACTCGGTGCTTCGAAAGGGATGTGGGTTGATTTTCTGCTAGACAAAGTACCTCTCTCTCTCTCTCAATACAAGAAAAACAATGCTGGGACATGTGTTATTTTATGTGCTTCAAAAGGTTTTGTTCAAATTTGATATATTTTAATGGTTATGCATATAGTTGAGTAGACCGCGCCAATACAAGAAAAACAATGGGATATCTCTGCGTTTCATGTGTGTATATATACATAATTAATTTAATTTTTTTTTCATAGGCATTTATGAACCAAATAAAGTGGTTGAAACTAGTTGAAATGCGAATCAAATTACGAGTGGCTTAGTTCAAGTTTTATACTGTCCTTTTTATATTACAACTTGATGAACTTATTATACTCTGAATACACAGTAATTTAATTGTAGCGTGGATTTTATACGACGGCAAACAGTGATTCTCCTTGTTTGATGTCCTATGTGGGTGTATATATACAGATACAGATATAGATATAATGGTATAAGCGTTTGTTTGCAGTTTTGTTTGAGGGAAAATGACAACAAAAAAGCCAAAATATGAGGGCGGCATTACCAAAGGATTACAAATTTACAATACAATAATCCAACACTTATTTATTGTCGAGAATATCGACTTGGCTGGCTGGTGTCTTATTTGCCTGGAGGGTCTGTGTTTCTACTTTCTACCTATAAAGAAAAGTGCTTTGGAAGACAAACCATTAGAACGTAAAAGTCGAATTCTGATGTTCATCAATCATCATGCCTTAATCCTTTGGTGGGGGTAAAATTTTATAGCTAATTATTCATTTTGATTACTTTCTATCTATCTGTTGTCGCTTTCCATTTTTCCTATTAATTTAGTTTTTCCAGTAACTGAGAGAGAGAGATCTATTTGATGGAGAAAAGTTCACGCGGAAATCACATTTACAGGACAAGGCTTTTCTGCCACTATCTATTTGGTAACGGCTCTGCTGAATATGTGCTTCTTGACGTAGATGACCAACAACCTGGTGCTGTTGTCAATCCATTTCTCAGTTTCTTCAGCAGAACAAGTGCGCACGTATGCGCTTCTTGCAATGGCTGGCTTCTGTTTTCATGCCCTAATGAAACTGATATTAGCCTCACCCATTACAGTGTTTTTAACTTAGTCACCAAGCAAGACTTCGCTCCTCCTCAACCTCAAATCCGCGGACCTAGTATTAGAACCGGTCTCGCTGTCGACGGTCAACACTACCAAATCGTACGCATTTTCGGCGTCAATAACAACGGGGGCAGTCTATTGGAGCTGGAGATTTACTCGTCGCAGAAGGGTGTGTGGAGACTCGAGCGTCCCTTGATTCACCTCCCACCTGATCTTCCCAAGCTCAACACCGCCCCTCTCTTCTCGAATGGAGCCATCCACTGGGAGTTGGGGGGCCACTTGCTCGTGTACTGCATCCTCCATGGTGAGTGCAAGCTCATCCCACTACCGAACCATGTGGATTTAGACAAATGGTCGCCACGCTGCCTAACATACGGGCAGTGCTTGTGGGAGTCGGAAGGGCGCGTCCACTTCTGCTACTCTGATTTCGAAGGGATTCACACCTGGTTCCTCCTCAAGGATTTAGAGGTTCAAGACTATTGCTCCTACCACTACAATCTTCGGTGGAAGCATGCTCACACCATCCTGCATCAAACTCTAGTCGCGCAGATTAGCCCTAGGTTTTGGCACTCGGGGCTATCATTTGCGTCTCCTGTGGCTTACGTTGACAACACTTGCACGATCTACTTAAGGCTACCTGGGGTGGTGGTTTCTTATAATCTAAGGACTCAAACTCTCAAGGAGATTTGTAGATACGCGTTCCCCAAGAGCAATTTCCACTGCTGCTTGATTGTTCCTGTTGTTTGCAGCAGTGATGCACTAGATTTCAGGGCAAGCGCCGACGGCCGCGGCGAAAGACATGGTGCGGTGGCTTAGGCTACTAGTAGTAAAGATGACGGGGATCTCCAAATGAAAGGACAAGAGTTAAAGATGTTTCACATTGGCAGAGATCTTCTAGGCGTAGCCTCAAGTTTGAAACAAGTTATAAGAGATGTTGTACCTTTTTTACTTTATGTTATTGTACATGGCATCTACACTGTTTTTTTTTTCTTTTCTTTTTTTCGGGTTAAAATTATTTATTTGAGTTGACGTGAGATAAGCAACTAATTATCGACAAACACAAAGACAGATAAGATAAGAATTAAGCGTATGAGTTCAAATTATAATTCATTATTTTGATTTTTAAAATTTAAATATTTTAAAAAAAAGAATATTATACAACAACAACAAGTCTTAATTTTAATTTAATTAGGGTTGGCTATATGGATTTCACTTTTTCACACGGCTCTGTTTGAAATTATATTTTTCTGAAGGCCTAGATCTAAAATGTATTTCCTAACGATTTCGGTCCACGTAATTATTAGTCTACCCCTCCCTCTCCTAGTATTAGGTATAAGAATGTCCTCCCAAGCACGAACTGGTGCTTCTAGCGGTTTACGTTGGACATGCCCGAACCACCTCAAGCGGCCTTCGCGCACTTTATCTTCTATTGGTGCTACACCTACTTTACTACGAATAACTTCATTCCTTATGCGATCCATTTCGTATGGTCACTCATCCATCTTAACATATGCATTTCTGCCACACTCATCTTAGATATATGTTGTCTTTTAATGGCCCAACACTCACTACCATATAACATAGTTGGGCAGATTACAGTCCTATAGAACTTTCCTTTCAACTTAATAGGCATTTTGTCATCACATAAAACTCTCGTAGCATTCTTCCACTTAACCCACCCTGCATTAATCCTATGTTAAATATCATCTTCTATATCTCCTTCGTACTGCACTATAGACCCAAGGTACCTAAACTTCCTAGAAGTCTCAATCTCCACATCATCTAAAGAAATTTCATCACTCTAATTACTTGAGTTACTAAACCTACAATGCATGTATTCAATTTTAGTCCTCCTTAACTTAAATCCCTTCGTCTCGAGAGTCTGTCTCCACAGTTCTAACTTACGGTTAACTCATTCCCTATGTTCATCAACTAAAACTATATCATCCGCAAAAAGCATACACCAAGGAACTCTATCTTGAATTTCTCTTGTCAGCTCATCCATCACGATGGTAAAAAGATAAAGACTAAGAGCAGATCCTTGATGAAGGCCGATCCGAATAGAGAACTCTGTCGTGTAGCCTCCAGCAGTCCTCACACTCGTGACCACCCCATCGTGCATGTACTTAATTACCTTAATATACCTCACATGCACTCCTCTCTTTTCTAACACCCACCATAAAACTTCCATCAACACCCTATCATATGCCTTTTTTAAATTTAGAAAGACCATATGTAGGTCCGTCTTGGCTTCTATGTACCTTTCCATCAGCATCCTAAGAAGAAAAATGGCTTATGTGGTTGATCTGTTGGCATGAAGCCAAATTGGTTACCTGAGATGGTAGTTGTGGCCCTTAATCTCCTTTCGATAACTCTCTCCCAAAGTTTCATAGTGTAGCTTATTAACTTTATGCCCCTATAATTGTTACAATTCATCACATTTCCTTTATTCTTGAAGATGGGAACAAGAATACTTCTCCTCCATGCATCAGGCATATGCTTCTTCTTTAGTATCTCATTAAAAAGCTTAGTGAGCCACACAATTCCAACATCTCTTAACGCCATCCAAACCTCTATTGGAATATCATCTGGCCCACATGCCTTCCCCTTTTTCATCTTCCATAGTGCAGTTTTAACTTCCAAGACTCTGATTCCTCTTGTATACATCACATTAGGTTCTCCTTGTGACCTAAGATTGCCAAACTCTATTGCATGATCATCATTATAAAGCTTCTCAAAGTAGCTCCTCAACTTTTTCCTAATGTCTTTATCTCTTGTTAGAACTTGATCCGTATCATCCTTAACACACCTCACTTGATTTAGGTCCTGACACTTCCTTTCTCTTATCTTAGCTAATTTATATATATCCTTCTCTCATTCTCTAGTCCAAAGTTTCCTATATACCTCATCTAAGTAAGTAGAACGAGCCTTATCAACTGCTCGCTTAGCTATATAAAAAAAAATATTATAACAGAACTAAATATCATAATTTATACAATGTAGAATTCTTAAAATAAATACACACGTCGTAACAGTGGAGTTTGAAAAGTGAAAAATAATAAAAGTAGCATGCTATAGTTTTCTTAATATAATAGGGGGCGCATATATAATTGAATAACTCTGTAATTAATATTTTTTTATACAATACTGTGTAATCCCCATTCAAATCTCTTAATGCCACTAGGAGGTCTTAAGGAATTGGCAATTCAAATAATTGCCAAACAATTCAAAGCAAAGCAGAAAGGGGAAAGCAACGTTTGCTCACTAGTTTTGTTATCATTTTCGTTGTCTGTTTTAATAACATTCAAGAATCAAAGCAAGAGAAGTATGTTTTTGGGGAAATTGAAATTTCTCACACAAGGCAAGGGTCCGGGTGTAACTCTCTTGAGAAAGAAGTCCAATTTCTGACTTTGATACCGTCACCACATTCAAATCCAAATCCAAATCCAAATCCAAATTTACTACCATCAGTTCACTACGAGCCGCCGGCCGGCTAAACACTTTCTCCAATGTAAGTTCATCCTGCCGTTTTCTTCAACCTTTTTTTTCCCCCTTTTTTCTTGTTAAATTTTGTATTAGTCAAAATCACGACTTTTTGGCCTATCTTTCTTTACCCTTCCGTTTTCTTCAACCTTTTTTTTCCCCTTTTTTCTTGTTGAATTTTGTATTATTATTATTATTATTGTTATTCAATTGGCATAATCAAAATCGAATTTCAACCGCTTGGCAAAGGCAAAGGCACAACCTTTCTTCTTCTTTTGTTTATTGGGCTTCTTTTTCTTCCATTAGATAACATAAGCAACGATGTTATGGGTAATATAATATGATATATATACTTTATAATTTTATGAAAAATGTTGTCCTTGTTAGTTGGGTCAACTTTCCCAGCACATTCTCTCTCAGGCAGGCCGATTATTAACTTTGAATTTTTTTTATTATGATGTAATAAATGATTTCTATTATATGTTGGAGTGGCTGTGGCACTACATATGTAACTAATAATAATAATAATAAAACAATAAATTAAATTTGGTTTTTGTTTTTGATAGAATAGATTAAAAATTGATTGATAATCAGAGCAGGTAGAGGAGCAGTAGCGACTAGTGGGAGAGAGAGAGAGAGAGAGAGAGGCATCAGAACGGAATCGGATCTCCCATCATCAAATATCAGTAGTATATTATATTGTATCTGTGTAAATCTGATTACGTTAGGTGTTTTGATTAGCAGTATAGCAAATTTGTTTGTTTTCTTTTTTGTTTCCTGATAAATTTAGGACCAATTTGACTTGACATTTTTGTACTGTTAAAAAAATTTTGTTATTTTTATATTGTTAATCAGAAGTTGTTGTGATTAAAAATATATAGGTGTTTGGGAATTTTTTTTTTTTTAAATTATTGTGAATAACAGAAACAACAAAATTCATAATATTTATACACCAAAATACTAAAAAAATATAATTTTTATTTAATTAATTAAAATATCTCTAAAATATAAATTAGTTTTATTCAATGAGATAAATTATATATCTATAAAGATATTATTAAAATATATGAAAGACTTAGCATAATATATTATTAAAGATATTATTAAAATCTATTCAAATTTTTCATAAGATATTTATTAAAATAAAATTTAGCATAAGATATTTATTAAAGATTCTTAATTTTCATATAAACATTTAAATAAATATATTCTTTAATTTGATTTAAAATAAATAAAATAAGTTGATATTATTAGAGTCATTTTAGTAAATTTAGACAATAACAACAGAAGCTGCTGTGAAAAAGCAACTTTAATATTCTTCTCAAACTTTATTGTGGGGGAGTAGTTTTTAGAAGCTGCTAAGTAAAAATAAATTTTACTAAATATCTTGACTTGCTCTAACTTCTTAAAAAAGCTAAAAACAACATCTATAAGCAATGCTAAACGAGCCCTTAAGATTACAAACTTCTTAATTATATATTTCTTGGGCAATTATGGGAAAAGAATGTGTTGATTAAAGTAGTAATAAACTATAATGTTGTAACCATTGTTACTTAGAAAAAAAAATATATATATATACATATATATATATATATATATTGTTAACGGTGAAATTTCATCAACAGGATTGCGTTGGGTCACTCCTTGGTATCTCGTAGGATTACTGGGCTGATATTGGTGTATATTTGAAAATAATGTTTATGAACAATTCGTGTAAACTATGTGGTGAAGGAAATATGAATGTAATGCCTAAATGAAAGGACACACGAAGTTTATAGTGATTCACTCTGTTAATAAAGAGCTACATCCACTGTGTTTTTGCATATATATTTCCTTTTTTTAATTACATATAGAGTGAGGAAGAGAGGGCCCCTTCTGTTCGGGGCTTTCCCCCATTTTATAGTCAAAGTTTACATCAGGAGTGGTTTTTCTCTGTAGGCCTACCCACTTGAGTGCCTACTACCCTATGGGCCTAGACCCATAGCTTGCTAACAGCTTTTTGATTGTTCATTCATCCAGTTTGTCTCCTATTACAGCTCTGCAGATTCCCCTTTAATCCTCCACAGTCCGTTAAAGGGCGGTTTAGGGGCTTGTAATTAATGCATGTATTACTGACATTCTTCAAACCAAGACGCAACTCCCTTGTCCACTCAGGGGCCTGGGGACGTGGACCCATGTTTGTGCAATCGGTTGTACAGAGGGTCAACGGTACAAAGGGTCAACCTTAAGAACCTGCTTCATGGAGGCTTCTCCTCCTTGGAGGGGTCGGCCTTTCAAAGGCCTCTCCTCCTTCGAGGGGTTGGCCGTTCGGATGCCCCTTGGGGCTCCTAGCAAATTTAAGAACCTGCTTAATGGAGGCATTTCCTCTTTGAAAGGGTCGGCCGTTCGGAGGCCTCTCCTCCTTGGAGGGGTCGGCCTTTTGGAGGCCTCTCCCCTTTTAAGGGGTCAGCTGTTTGGATGCCCCTTGAATCTCCGCCCTCTTATACTGACGTGACAGCGCATATTTTCTCACACAACATATGTGTTGTAATATTGTATTGGTTTTGAAGTAAAACAATTATAACTATTTTTTTTTTCTGAGGGCAATAAATGATTTATATTATATGTTGAGGTGGCCGTGACACTAAATGTATAATAAAATAATAATGCAATAATAATAAAACAGTAAATTTAAATTGGTTTTTTATAGGAGTTTTTCTAACCGTACACTTTTATTTATAATTTTAATTTTTTATCATTAAATCTGATGAAAATTATATTAAATTAAAAAAATTAAAAATGATTATTTTATTATTATTGTTTTTTTTTTTTTTTTTTGGAGGATTATCACATTTTTTGGGTAGAATACATATAAATTTAAAAATTGATTGATGATCCGAGCGGATAGAGGAGCAGGAGTGATTAGTAGAGGGGCATAAGAACAGAACGGGATTCTCGCCTATCGATTCGGATCGGATCTCCCATCGCATCATCAAACTCAAAATTTTTGTTTTTTTGATTATTGGTTTCATGAGAAAATTATAAGAAATGGGAAAAGAATGTGTTAATTAAAGTACACATATATGTAAAGAAGATACAGCGTACAGATAGAGAGATAAACAATCCTAATAAATGTAATAAATAAATAAATAAATTTAAGAGAGAGAGAGAGAGAGAGAGAGAGAGAGAGCGTTGACGGAGGGGAGAGAGAGAGAGAGAGAGAAAATGGCATTGAAATTGGAATTGGCCCCTCACCCGCAAACGCAGGTACAGTCGTCGTATAAAAGATGGAAGGAGGGACAGGGGAGAGGTGCAGGCACATTAGTATCCGCGGTCATCCCCATCTCAATCTCCTCTACCTCTACCTCTACCTCTACCTGTACCTGTACTATCAATATCAACAAAAACTTTGATAACAGAACAAGGACAAGGCACTTGTTAGATTCCTCAATCTCAAACTCAATCGCCAACAGTAGTTATTCGGTTAATACGAGGACGAGGACGAGGAAAATGGTAAAAGCCGTCAGTTTGGGAGACCCCCTCCTCGCCGAAGACCAAGATGAAGCCGTCGTCGTACCCTCCGACCACTTGTCCCAACAAGCTCTCGTTCCCTCCCTCCGCGACGTACGTATCTCATTGACCAACTCTATCTCTCTCTCTCTCTCTCTATCTCTCTCGTGTCTGATGATCTGTGTAAGTGCTTAACAGTACCTGGAGATGTACAAAGCCTCCATCCAGGATCCAGGCCGATTCTGGTCGGAGATTGCCTCCCAATTCCACTGGGAACGCAAATGGGATCCGGATCACGTCTTCTCTCACAATCTCGACGTCACGAAATCCCAAGTCCACATTCAGGTTATTTTTATTCTCTCTTTTCTCTGTTTTTTTTTTTTTTTTTTTCTTCCTTTAATAATATCTTTTTGCATTGCAGTGGTTCAAGGGCGGCATCACCAACATTTCCTACAATTGCTTGGACAGAATCGTGGAATCCGGTGGCGGCGACAAAATCGCTCTTTTCTGGGAAGCCAACGATCCCGGCTCTGATGCCTCTTTGACTTACAAACAGCTCCTCTCCAGAGTTTGCCAGCTTTCAAACTACTTGAAAGACATTGGCGTCAAAAAGGGCGATGCCGTCGTTGTTTACTTGCCCATGCTCATGGAACTTCCCATCACAATGCTCGCCTGCGCCCGCATCGGCGCCGTTCATTCCGTATTTCCCTTGCTTCTCTTTTTCATTACTTTCATTTCCATCTTCTCTTCTTTTCAACCATCCGCATCCGCCTTCATAATTCCTTGTCTTTTCAGGTTGTTTTTGCAGGATTTTCTGCAGAATCTCTTGCTCAGCGAATCATCGACTGCAAACCAAAACTTGTCATCACTTGCAATGCTGTCAAGAGGGGTTCTAAGATCATCCACCTCAAAGACATAGTTGATGCGGCCCTCCTCCTATCCGCCCAAACCAACGTTTCCGTAGGTCCGTTACGACTCTTAAACGCTTTTCTACAATCATCTCCACTTTTTAACCTTCAACAACACTTTAGTATTGTAGACTGCAACGCGACTTGTACGTTCTCAAAATCTTCATCGAGCGCTTTTTGCCAGATGCTTTTTATATTATCATTTTGCTTCCCTTATTATCGCTCTAAGACCATGTCCAATGCAAATGTTGATGCCAATTGTATATTTGGCACCAATAAGTATGATAATGATATATCTCACTTGTTGTTTCTATTCTTGCTCTAATGCATAATGCTATTTCAAATACTAAATCTATTTTTTACCATAATCATTAAGCTTTGGAAGTTGTAGAAACAAACTCTTAACTCTATAACAATTTGAAAATGTAAATATTGCAATGATATTAGAAGACAACGTGACATGCCAATGAATATCGATCAAATGCCAAATTTACCATATGCTATACCTGGTGGTAAATTTACCACAAAGTATCGCATATTGTAAATTTGGCACAACCAAATGACGCTGCATTGAAGAGTGTTTTTACACTCAAATGCCAAATTTGCAATTGAAACATCACTTGCAGTACTGAATTGGAGATACTCTTAACAGATATATAAAATCACTCTTCTATATTTAAAGTTGTAAGTTTATTTGTCTGTTTATTTATTTATTTATTTTTAAGCAGATAGATGCCTAGTCTTTGAAAATGAAGCAGCTATGAAGAGGGAACCTACTAAATGGCAAGAAGGAAGAGATATATGGTGGCAGGTCAGTGTGCAACCGGTCCTTTCAAAAACTATGATTCTAATGAAAAGAAGGTTTATCATATCTATTATGTGCATAGTGTATTAAAACCATCTCTAATACAAATGTTGGTGCCAACGTTATATTTGATCTGCTATTTTATTTTGTGCTCTAATGCATGATGTTATTTCAAATGTTATATCTATTTTTTGTCATAATTATTAAGCTTTGAAACTTGTAAAAGTAAATTTTTAATATTAAAATTTTAAAAACAATAACGTCGTAATGATTGAATAAAAAAGTTGTAACGGCTTTCATCTCTACTTGGTATGATATTGTCAGTTTTGGGCCTAAACACGCACGGTTTTGCATTTGGGTTTTACCCAGAAGGCCTCATATCATTGGGATATGTGTAATTACTTATAAACAGTTACATATCAAATTTCTCAAACAATGTAGGGCTGTACAACTAGCACAGTCTTAACCTTTTGCCTCAAGGGATTGATAACTGTCATACAAAAGTTAATATATCAACCACTAGCAATCAAATGTCAAAGTTGACATATGCTATACTAGAGAGTGATTTTTCCACTCAAGTGCTAAAATTTGGCATTTGACAAAAACTTTGTATTATATTGGGGATGCTCTAATATAGTTGGAAAACCTCTATAACATAATAGCATTTCTTTTGCCTTCCAACTTTGAAATCAAAAGTCAGTAAAATCTCGTACAATGTTGTTAGATGAGTCCCGGATATTTCTGGTGCATACTTCTATCAGCTCATAAGATCATAGTGTTGTTGCATAATTGTTTTACTCATTGGTGATAAATTGTTACTATCTTCTAGGATGTGATTCCTGAATATCCAACGCATTGCGAGGTGGAATGGGTGGACGCTGAGGATCCATTGTTTCTGCTCTACACAAGTGGAAGCACTGGAAAGCCTAAGGTATGCATCATCAAGGATGTGCTTCTTATATTATCTTTTTTCTCTCATGGAAAAAGGAAAATGTTTTTCCCAGTAGGTAAATATTTTCTTTTTCCTTTTTGAAGGGTGTTCTCCATACAACTGGAGGGTATATGGTGTATACTGCAATAACATTCAAATATGCGTTTGATTATAAACCTACTGATATTTATTGGTCAGATTACCCTATCTTCTTTGAGACTTCATAATTAAAGTACATGAATATTAGATTGTTTTGCTGCTCAACATACCGACTTTTTTCTCCCTTTATTTTAGGTGTACGGCTGATTGTGGTTGGATTACTGGGCACAGCTACGTCACTTATGGACCCTTGCTCAATGGAGCTAGTGTCGTCGTTTTTGAAGGGGTAAATTTACTTGCAAAGCAGACTAGTCATTCATAAATCATAGAGGATAACTAACCTAGACCTAGATTTATGTGTGCAAATAAACCATACAATAATCGCACTTTTGGTTTTACAATTTTATGGAATCCTATTTGAAAGCTACAGACAAGAGTTTGCACTTTGTAGTTCCAAACCTGCAGATTGTAGAGTGAGAATTGAGTTTTATGTATTTATGGCGCATTTACACTGGAAGTGGAATATATGAACAAAAGAACTATCCTCCTATGGCAGTAGTATTTGCTTGTGGAGATTTTCTAGGTAACTATCAAGGCAAAAGGCCATTTGCAAAATGCCACTACCAGCTTAACATATTAAATTCACATATCAATCACAAATGGTAAATTAGGAAAATCTAGTACATTCTACTATCAGTGTAGTCCTCTAATCCGAATGTATTTACGTTCAACATGCAGTCTCCAAATTATCCTGATTCCGGTCGCTGTTGGGACATTGTTGATAAGTACAAGGTTACAATATTTTACACTGCTCCCACATTGGTGCGGTCCCTAATGCGTGATGGTGATGAGGCAAGTTATATCTGTGACTTATAAACTCTAGTTTATGTGGATATCAATATGATAAAACACTGCAACAAATATCCTTATTATGATCAGTTCAATGGCGCATGTTCCCACCTTGTGATGTTGCTTAGTATGAACCCACGTCATTTTGTTTATTTTACATTCATGGTCACGACTGAAAGGCAAGGCAAGCATAAAACAACATATGGAAGTATAAATCACCACTAATTCCCCATTACACTTAGAAATAATAAATGAAAATGGAAAACCCTTGAACGCTTAATTTGTAGATGTGCATAACGAAGCAGAAACTTTGGCTTCTCAAAAAGATCAGTTGAAATCCATCTCCTTTTCCTCAAATATCCTGGAATTTCTTTCCAACCAAATCGTCCAAAAATCTATTCTCTTCTATGGGGTATTCTCTTCTGCTGTCAATTGTTCTCTTTGTTTGAATAAAATTCATTGTTGAATAAAATATCTACTGATGAACTTGCTCATGTTATTTTGATATCCATATTTTTATTGGTCCGTCTAGTTGTCTGATTAGAAGAGCAGAAGTCTGTTCTATTAGTTATTACATATATTGATCAACTCCATATCCTTGGTGTGCATGTAATTCAGTTTCTTAATTGGTTAATTGATCAACAATTGTTCATACTGCAGTATGTTACTCGCTACTCAAGGAAATCCTTAAGGATCCTAGGAAGCGTTGGTGAGCCTATCAATCCTAGTGCCTGGAGGTAGCCAGATTCAATAAGGAAAAGTGTATATATATGTGTGTGTGTGTGTGTGTGTACATATATGTTATATATCAAGTAGCTTCTTTAATTAAAGCCTATTTGGTATTGGCGCAGGTGGTTCTATAATGTAGTTGGAGATTCGAGGTGTCCTATTTCTGACACTTGGTGGCAAACAGAAACCGGTGGCTTCATGGTAATTTTTGCTCTGTTATATTCTGATGGAACTCATATAGGAGCATTAGGCATGGGATTTCTTGGATATTTTTTCAATTGATTGAATACATGCACGTAAGTGCATATAGTTCCTTCTCGGCTTCTCTCTGTCACTTAATATGTACATAATTCTTCATTTGTTCATATGGCAGATAACTCCTTTACCAGGTGCCTGGCCTCAAAAGCCTGGTTCCGCCACTTTTCCTTTTTTTGGAGTTCAGGTAATTTTTGCTTGTTTTATCGTTTAGAGCACTATTTATTTATTTTTTCCTTGCAAATGTAGAGTTCAGAGCTTTGTTGTCTTCTACTTGCATGAATGCAGCCTGTTATAGTAGATGAAAAAGGTGTCGAGATTGAAGGGGAGTGCAGCGGATATCTTTGTGTGAAAAGCTCTTGGCCTGGAGCATTCCGTACGCTCTATGGTGACCATGAAAGATATGAAACCACTTACTTTAAGCCATTCCCTGGTTATTATTTCACCGGAGATGGCTGCAGAAGGTAAGTGACAATACCAAACTGTCACTTTAACTCGTTTAATCTCCCAATGCGCGTTTATAGGACAATAACTTCCCTTTCCTTTTCATTTTTTTAATCTTCCATATTGGATGCCAGACTTGCTAAGGTTCAAAAATTAATGTTTCAGGGACAAGGATGGGTATTACTGGCTTACGGGAAGAGTTGACGATGTTATCAATGTCAGGTATTTGATGTTTAATAAGTTTCTATCCTTATAGAGAAAATTGTATTTGAGTTTCAAAGATTCATGTATTCTAGAAAAACCATGTCGTTATCCTCCCTCACGTTTGTCTATCACCTGTGTGCCGTTTATTGTTAATGGTAATAACAAAAAAATGTACGCTTTTATAGTGCGTTGGTGGTGGTTAATGCTGTTCATAATTCATGCAGTGGACACCGTATTGGTACAGCTGAAGTAGAATCTGCTCTGGTTTCACATCCCCAGTGTGCGGAAGCTGCTGTCGTTGGTGTTGAGCATGAGGTATGTCTACTTTCAGGTGTGTGTTCACATGTTTATGAGAGAGAGAGAGAGGGTATCAAAGGTACTTGTCGTAGGAATGCCTTAACCGATGATAATTGGCCGCTCTAAGTGCACAAAGAGGGTATCTAAACAATATTGCTCATGGAAAAGGGATGAGAGGATGAGACCATGATACTTTTGCAGCTCTAGGCGAAGGGCAGAGTACAAATTTATACATCATAAATCGTGAGAAAAATATGAAAAGAGATAGAGAGAGAAAATGCTTGCCGCCAGTTTCTCAGCAAAAGCATTTTCACTGTGTAGGTTAAAGGGCAGGCTATATACGCATTTGTTACTCTTGTAGAAGGTGTTCCTTACACTGAAGACCTACGGAAGAGCCTCATACTCACTGTTAGAAAGCAGGTACGCCTCCTACCTAATGACTTGACGACCGAACAATTCAAAAATATATTGTTGCAATCACTCTTCTTGATTCTCTAGAGGGTTCATATGCCAGGTTTATAGCTAAACGTGTTCCCCCTTTATCTCTCTTCATTAAATTTGATGAAGAGATATTTTTGTGCTCTTACTCTGTAATGCCTAATCCCAAATAATTTATGGGTCTCGTTAAAGTGTTGAACTACCTTGTTTGAATGAAATCCAATGCAGTTAAACTAGAAGATGACAAGTTTTATGGTGGAAAGCTGTTCAGTCTTTTTCAGATTTAGTTCTCTAAAAATCTAGCCTGGTCGGTGTACCCCCCATTTACCTTTCTTCTAACTTCTAAGGCTTCATAATTTGCGCATCCTTGAGGGATTGGTTATCTAATTGAGTATGAGCATTTGTTCTCCAATGACGTCTAGATGAGCTTGAACAATAAGAAATAAACTTAGCATATATCTCGTAGTATCTTTGGATTTTCACAAGCGGATGTAGAAATTTATAAGCTGTGATCTGACACTTGAAAAATGTTTGACATTTCAGATAGGAGCATTTGCTGCACCCGACAAAATCCACTGGGCGCCTGGCCTTCCAAAGACTAGGAGTGGAAAGATAATGAGGAGGATTTTGAGAAAAATTGCTTCCAGACAGTTGAATGAGCTTGGAGACACTAGCACACTAGCGGAGCCAAATATAGTAGATCAGCTTATTGCACTCGCTGATTGCTGAAGGCATTTGTGCATGGAAGGTAAAACTATCTGACCTTCTCCAGTTGTTATGCGGTGATCAAATATAGTAAATAAGGAAACACTTGGGTAGTTCATGAACATATCCATTTTGCTTTTGTTCCGGAAATCCTTCATGCCGTGATTTCAAGTCGGATGTGTCTACCAAGCATAGCGTCTCAACTGGTTTTCTGGCCAAATGCCTAAACCAACCGAGACTACTACTAGAGGTCCACAATGGCCTTTTATGTTCTTCAGAAAACCAATATGCAAGACTAGATTGAAAAAGCTTCAATATCATCTCTCCATCCCCTTTATTTAGAAATATATATGCGAGACAAATAAGCTGAGCATTATTAACCTAATTCGAGATTCTAAATTCCGGTGCAGGATCAGCTGTAAGGTATACGAGGGGAAAGGAGTGCATTCACATACTCCTTTTGTAAGATCAATTTTACATGTCTCTCTCTAGCAAGAAAGAAAAAAAAAAAAACAGATCATATTTATTTCCATACATGTAAGGATTGGGCATTGTTTTTGCTGTGAAGAATAAGATCAAGTTTTGAATAAAGTGATTAAAGCGAAGTAGTATTGCTTGTAGAAGACTGTTTGAAATATCAATTTGATTTTTATTCCAAATGTCCAATTGAGCGTTTGTTCCTGCATGGCTGTCAACTATTGGATTCAATTATTGAAACGTCAATTTGCGTAAAAGGCTTTTTGATTTCGGGGTGATTTAGAGGAATACCAGTTGTAGTGAATTGGAATTTAAATAAACTACTTTTGAATAACTTGCGCCTTAATTTGACATCAAAGTGATACAGATAAACAATCAAACTTAAATAAGTAGTATACAACTTTATTTACACGAGATTTACATCGGTTAAGTATGTTTTCAGTTGACCCCTCTTCTCTCCTCTCGTTTCTCTATCCATCTCTGCTCTCACTTGTTGGCACCGGCAGTGTGGCTGAGATGGTGACCTCGCATTGGCAATCTCAAGTCTTGAGTGCTGAAGAGCTTCCAAAGTCAATCATCGAAATCAATCATTGCATTGACAATCATGTTGGCGAGGTGATTGAGGAAGTGACTGGAATCAATCAATGATGAAACAAACGAATCCGGTCACCACGGATGTGAGGTCGAGGCAATTGTGATGTTGGCTCGTTGGTCGTTGCACCGGCTTTGCCCACATGATGCTAGATATTCTGATGTGCGTTACCTTATAGTATCACACCAGTCAGGCACGGCCCTTTTTTCTTTTTCTTTTTCTTTTTTTAAAGCACATTTTGTTTCAACTTTGAAATGTCATAAAGAACATAGGGACTTAACACCTTAGGAACAGAATCAACAGAAACTAAATCAAACGATAATTGAAAATCATAATTAATATCAGCAAAAAGTAAAATAAGTAGATTACTCGGAATTTGAATACGAGAACAATCTCTGGTGCAATGTAATACACATATTGCACCAATCATCATAATTAGTCTTTGTTCACTCAAATCATTGCACTATAGGAGCAATCTTTTACAGCTCTAGAGCATTTAGTTCAAATTCCATTTGAGTTTTTCATTCTGTTTTATCAGTTTAATCATAAGACTAGAGAAATGTTCGCGGATGGTATATATCTTCGTCTGGTTCAGGTATTGCATTCAGGCTTCCACTAGATATATAGCTCTAAATTGCTCCAGAGATTATAGTCCTGACTTTTGGTTTTGAACCAGAAATGATTCATAAGGAATACAAAACAAACACTAATAATAAGAAAACAAGAAATAGCCCAATGTACATAAAAAACCGACATCAGATTAAGATTTAAAGAGCACGTGAATGGTACTTTCACCTTCCAAAACAAACCTCCCTCCGTGTTCTATATGAAAAATCTTCAAGAAATCACCATACTCTTTCATTCATTACAAAGCAAAAAGGTCCAAACAGCTTTGAAGGGGGCAAAGGTAGCAAAGAAAAAGACACTTGCAAAAAACGAATGCATATGCGGCCAATAAGCACCGAAATTTGAAGATTGTGGAGCACAGAGATGCTAGATTACCAAGCAGAAGCAACCTGCTACAGAAACGCACTTCGCCAAGCAACAATTCATTGGCTCTTAATCGGAATCCTCGTACGCTTCCCCATCATCTGATACCTCATCAAATGATCTGATGTCAAGCTGGTAACGAAGGATACCTCCAATCCCACCGAATCCTCTGCAAAATTGTGACCCCTCCTGGGATTTGTTCGTGACAAATTCAAGCGTACAACCAAACCGCTTGTACTCGTTGGCGAACCACTCAAGTAATGGCATCTTCTCCTGAACTTCGAGCTCCGAAGAAGTAGCTGCATCACGGAAATTGCTCTGGTCAGCTTCTTGGTCCTTGTTCAGATGCTTTATGATAATCTCGCCAGTAGCACTGTTTTTCAGCACATACCTATTGATATCCAGATTTTCCCACACAATTAGGATTTCTACAGCGCCCATTTCCAGAGCCTTGAGTGTGTCATCCACACCAAAGACATATTTACCGGTGTCCTGACTGATCTCCTCAAAGTACTTTCCAATCAAGCGTTTCTCTTGTATGAACTTCACATTAGAAAGAATTTCTGCAGATAGCTCGATAGCTTGATTGAAACCATTTTCACCCCCATAAGAAACATCGACCACGTTTAATATCTTTGCCTGCAAACGAGGATCAAACATATCTGACTGGCTTAGTTCAGTCTTGAAATCTGCTGAACCAGCAAGTATTAGACCAGCAACATTTGGCTGACTGGTAGCAGGATTGATGAAGAATTGCGTGGCAAGCTCAGCAGTCTTTCTGACATAGTTATGCCGCTTTTCCATCCGAAGACGGGCAAACCGCAATGCTGACTGACCTCCTCTTCCATGCTTCTTTGGTAGATCAACTGTGAATTTATGTAGCACCTCTCTTGTGTTTCCACTTAATGTCCCAAATAGCGTACCATTTCCATCCATTACAATAAAGCCAAACTTATCATCAGATTCCAAAAGTTCATTCAAAGCTTCAGTGTGAAACTTGTTGTCACAGAGATACAACGAGGCATTTATTGGCTTGAAAGGTTCAAAGTCAATGGTAACCTTCTTTTCCTTGCCGTCTTCAGTAACAATCGTCCCGGTGTAAAGCACCAGCCCATTAGGAGGAACCTTGTTATAAAGCTTCAGTCTTTGTTGTGCAGAAGTAATGGCACCCAGCACTGACTGGCGGTTGACCCTGCTTTTGATGTTGGAAGCAGTTCCGAATTCATCACCCAACATCTTAGTAACCCGAGAAATTTGATCTCGTGGAGGCATTATAAGTGATATCATGCTGGTACCGTTGCCTCTCGCAGATTCCAACGCCTTGATCAATTTCTTGATCTTCCATATCTCGATGTTCTTGTCAGATTCATGACCATCAGCCATCGCCACTTAAATAGACTGAAAACAGGAATATATTAGCCTGCCCATGTCAATACGTTTCATGGTTAACAGAGACGACAAATTCCAAAGAGACAAACCAGGAAAGCACCAAACTTTAGTATATTAACTCTGATGGCTGACAATCTAAATTTCGCAATAATGAATAGCACATACTAAACATTCTCTTGCAAGAAATTAGGATGCGCGGTTTGGACAACCGACAGACAAAATAATCCAGCAAAACAAAACACACACCGACAAAGAGCTAGAAACAGAGAAGAGGAACATGGACAATTCCGAAAATGAATGAAACTTCAAATAACCATTAACCACGGTAGGAAAATTGCTTTTTTTTTTTTTTTCTTTTTTGCTCGGTAGCTGCAGTAGACAACTGATTTCAAATAATCACTTCAAGGTGTTGACTTGGGAGTTGTTATTTGGTCAACAATCAGCAAATCTCAAAAATACACAGATCCTGCGATTAGTATTATAATCTGGGTGGTTACAAGTTACAAGTCAATTTTCTGTTCGGTATTGAGACAAGAAATTCAACTAGATGAAAAAAAAAAATAATAATAATAAGATCAAGCTAATGAGTTGAATTGAGTAATGAAATGCGAGTTTGTTTTTGGGAATTATATTGTATTATAGGTCAAAAGGAGCAAACCCTAAAGCTAAAGCTTAAAACAAAGCCAAAAGCAAAAGAAGATGATAAGATCCGCGCTTAATCATAATCATTTATAAACAGAATAATCCCATTGCATAACTGATGAATACTAATATTATTATTAGTATAGATCATCATCATCATCAGAAGAAGAAATACAGAGAAAAATTTCAGCAGAAAACTAATCAAAATTCAAACCTCAAAATCTGAGAAGACGGAGAGACGGCCGGCCAAGCGCAGGAATTTCTCTCTACTCCTTGTTGCTTTTCCTTTCTTAGGGGCTAGGGTTTCTTTCTTTCAACTTCTCTCGTCTGGATTCGACCAATTGTATTCACGTGGGACCCACATTTCCATTTTCCTCGAGAAAATTTGATAAAAGAGACTACAATCAAACAGAAATTGAGGATCTATACCACTTTTTTTTTATAACAAAAAAATTATGACGTGTATCTTACGTGTCAAAAAATAGGTCCTATCTAGTTTATGTATTTGGGTCATTTTAAAAAACTCTCACCAAACCTCAAAAACTGACCCTTTCTCTCTCACAAACCGACCACACGACCGACTCCCTCACAACCTCTCACCGGTTTCTCTCTCGCCGAGTTTCTCTCATAGCCCGACAAAACTGACCATCTCTCCCCGACAAAACCAACCCTTCTCGCCGAGAACCGACCACACTTCTAACTCTCCCCGACAAAACCGACCCTTCTCGCCGAGGACCGACCACACTCCTCACTTCCCCGACGAAACCGACCGTTCCTCGCCGAGGACCGACCACACTCCTCACTCTCCCGACTAAACTGACCCTCTCTCACCGAGGACCGACCACCCAAAAATTGACCCTCTTCAACAAAACCGACCACCTCCCTCACTAAAAACTGACCAAAAACAGGCGACTTCCACGACTGAAATGGCATCACAAAACAACTATTCTTCCTCAACAAAGACGGCCATTTCCCGAACCCCCATCGACGAGGCAACGGAATCTGCTCAGGTAAAATTAAGGTTTTTTTTTCTACATTTTTGCAAGAACAAAAACTTAATATAAGAAAACAAGAATTGCATACATTAGTGTGTGGTCTGTTCGTATCTTAGTCGGTTTTGGTTCTGCTGTGGTCTGTTCGTAGTCGGTTCTAGGTCGGTTTTGGTTAGTTTTAGTTTTAGGCTAGTCGGTTCGGGTCGGGTCGGTTCTAGGTTGGGTCGGTTCTTAGGGCAGTTATGTGTCTTTCTGTCGGTTCGGGTCGGTTCTAGGTTGGGTCGGTTCTAGGTCGATTCTTGGTCGGTCTCGCGCGCGCACTCTTGCCACCCCGCGCACGCCCGTACCCCCTGCGCGCGCACCCTTGCCACCGCGCCCGTGCCCCCCCCCACCCCCACGCACTAGTGCCCCACCGCGTGCACACACCAGTGCCCCGGTTCTGTGTCTTTTTGTCAGTTCTATGTCGTTTTGGTCGGTTCTGACCGATGTCTGTTTTTTCTTTTTTTTCAGTATTACCTCCCGAAGTACAACACATATGAACTTCCTGGGATTGGACAGCTAAGGATGATCATGGATCCTATACAGGAGTACTTCCCAGTGAAAGTCACTATGAAGTCAAAGATCGAGGCCCTGGAGGTAATACGGCAGAATTTAGACCCTGAAACTGAAATGCCAATTTTCAAGGAATCTACCTTGGGACATTTGATTTCGATGTCTAAAAGTATGATCTATTTTGGAGTGTTGACACACTATCTGCTTCTGAGGCAGATAGAAGCAGAAAAGAAATATGAGTTGTGGTTCATGGCTAATGGAAAGCCAACTCGGTTCGGAATGAGGAAATTTGCCTTAATCACAGGATTGAACTGCGGGGAATTCCCAGAGCCGGACGTGTTGTTGAAAGCTTCAAAGAATCTAAGATTGTTGGAGCATTTTAAGACCCAAATAGTACTTGTTGCTGATTTAAAGAAATTGCTCACAGAAAATAAGATAAAAGGTAGCGATAAAGCAAAGATCACTACTATTTACCTTTTAGCACAAGTATTACTATTTGGGGACTGAAGAAGACCGTCCCACTGGAATGGCTGTCGTACGTCAAAGATTTAGATTTCTTTAACAGCTATCCATGGGGCAGGGTGTCTTTTGAATGCACTCTGCAGTCGTTGAGGAAGAACCTAAAAGAGAAATTTCAGAAATGGGTTCGGAATGGAGGTCATAAGAGCATCAAGGAAACCTACTCAATATGCGGGTTTCCTTGGGCCTTCCAGGTATGTCGTACAGTTATATGCATAATTTTTAATCATGGCCTTATAGTAAATAATACATAGTTTTCCAACCATGGCATAATTTTTAACGCAAGTTTGGGCATTCGAAACTTTTCCAACCATCGGCGCCACGTTTGCAAATATGGTTGATGGACGTCTTCCTAGAATCCTCAAATGGGAGGCACGTCAGGTTTCATTGGTCGAGGTTGGACAGATAGACGACCTCATGCAAAGGATTTCTCCTAATTTTGACTCCATCAATATGTTCTTCTGGATTCATAAACTTCCCATCCACTATCACGTGTAGCGGTACCTCGTGGGCTATATCCTTGAAGAATAACAAATCATCATTGTCTTTTATTACAACGGGCAACGATTTCTGTTTCAAATTCGGTACCCACGATAGCTACAAAGAATGTTTTTGTCCATCAATTCTACATTTTCTACAAATCTTATCAACGAAGGTTTCGAGAGTATCCTTCTCATCCATATATATGCCAATTAAATTACAATCTGTATGCCACACCCAACAACTTTCAGTCTCATCCCATTTTCCTCCAATGTCAAAAAAAATCCTCCACTGAGCCATTATTTAAATTTTAAAACTGTAAAAATTTAATCAAGATAATAATATGTCATTAAACCAAACCAAATATCCCACGAACAGACTAAGAACATACCATATAATGAGAACAGACCATATAATAAGAACAACCCAAGAACAGACCAAGAACAGACTAAGAACCGACTGTGCAATAAGAACAGACTAAAAACTGACCGTGCAATAAGAACAAACCAAGAACAGACCATGAACAGACTAAGAACCGACCGTGCAATAAGAACAGACCAAGAACAGACCATGAACCGACCATGTTATAAGAACAGACCAAGAACAGACTACGAACCGACCATGTTATAAGAACAGACCAAAAACAAACCAAGAACAGACCACGAACCGACCATGTATAAGAACAGACCAAGAACCAACCATGTATAAAACAGACCAAGAACAGACCACAAACCGACCAAGAACAGACCTTTTTTTTTCTAAACCCAACAAATCTTCATCATATCAAACAATGTAAACTGGTCTTTTAACATGTAAAATTACTATTTTAATGGATTTTTAACATTTTTAACTACATTCTCATCTTAAAAACATATGAACAACAACGAAAAACACCATGAGAGATATAGAAAATGAAAGACTTACTTAGTAGCTCTTCTTCAAACTTCGTTTTGGACGAGAAAAAAATGCTGAATGGGCAAGATAATAATGTTAATGAGGTTATGCGACGACGATGACTTGAGAAGAAGAGAGAAGAAATTGAAGACGGCTGGGAGAAGAAAATGGCGCGAAATGGAAGAGGAGGAGGAGAAAAAAAACCCTAAAAGCATAATTGATGACGTGGAATGCTGATGTGGAAGTTGGGTTATTTACCCAATTTTTTTTTTGTAGTTTACTTATTTAAAAACACTTTTTACTTAGTCTATTTATACAAAGTGCCCATTTTCCTCCTCATTTATTTATTTTATTTATTTTTACTTTTCATTTGTTCATATCATTCTCTGTTTTGGTTTCGTTTAATCGGTGGAGTAATTAGGTCTACAAAAGTTTTTTTTTTCTCCTCTTTTTCCTTCTTTCCTTTTTTTTTTTTTTGGTCGTTGAAATTACAAAACGAATATGCATTTTTTTTTTTTTTTGAGAATAAATATGCACAGGTTTTTGAGCATATATAGCATTATAAATTTTGGGCACGAACACGTTTTCTACTAGAAAGAATGTGTAATAAGGGTGCATTTTGGAGGGGGAAAAAACTAGAGAGCAAGTAGGCTTCTCTTTGACTGCTTACTACACACTACTGGATGAGAAGTCTCATTTAGCAGCCCCCGAAATTTATTTATTTTTTCTTTTTCCCCCCTTGAAAGAAAGCTATTAATTATTAAATAAACGATGTTGTCAAAGGTGTGGAACCAAAATATATAACCTAATGAAGCACAAACTTATACCACGTTTGTGAAAACTTTACAGGTTAGTAAAGTAAATACAACAATAATATGTTGACCCCCCCATAAAAAGGAAAAGGAAATAATATGATGCGACTTATGAGCCAATAAATATGAATGAAAACAAAAATATTTCTTTCGTTGGGCTTCCTTTAGCTGCCTTTTGTTATTCTCTAGCCGCTCCTGCACAAAAAACAAACCTGAGCTTTGTGATGTGAACTAAATACAATCCAACATCATAACAAAGCACTAAATAATCTTACTCACTGTACAGGACTTCTGGCGCGGATGAACAAGTATCAATCAGTATGGTTGTGTATTGGAAAAGTGCTCATATCATCTGTCATGTAAGGTTTGCACGAGCCCTAAAAGCGAGCCGTCTCCTTATATCGTTATCTTGATGCTGCAAAACAAACCCTCTAGCCCTTCATACTTGCGCATCCAATTCCACTATCTACGCTTACTCGAATTGTATTTGTTGGCCTGCTGCAATCAAGTCAGATTCGGAACGTTGCGGTGATTATCGGCAAATTCACGAATGACTCTTTTCAGAATTCTTCCCCCTTTGCCTTGCATATGACCATAATCAGTCTGCACCCCATCACAGCTCTTGCTCTCCAGGTAATCTGAGGCCGCACAAGCGAGGGCCTTAGACCAAACTGGCACTAAGGTTTCAGCTTCCCCTTGCTTTAAGTATTCAACAGGAAGAGCCCGTACCTGCTCTAACGCTAAACTAGTTACATAACCATGGACGACACAATATAACCACTAAATAAATTATTTAAAAAAAAAAAAGTAAGAAAAGGATACAACTGTGTGTGTGCATGACTAAAAGAGAGAGAGAGAGATGGAGACAGACTGCCAAGTGTAGCCATCCATGCAATGATTCCCAACAAAGAACAAGCTTCCACGATGTTCTCTCGCTTAAACTGCATATTGCTGCCAATTGTTGAAAGATTGTTGCACATTTGTGAACCTATTAAAAGGAAGCCACAATTACTTTCCTTAGCTGCAACACTACTCCAATATGGATGTAAAAGCAAGGATAGAATATGGGTTCGAACCAAACAATTTAACAGCATAGCCCTTGGTTGCATTTCCCATTCTAGTTTGTGCATTTATAGTCTCTTGACACATGCTAATCTCTTTTATAATGTGAAGAATAATGTGACCTTTTAAGAATAATGTAAAGGATCCCAACTCTTGTACCAACTTTTTACACTAACTAATGTAGCAAGTACATTGTCATTCTTCAACCTGTTATGTACAACTTCCGATAAAAATGCCTCAATCACATTAACCAATTAAAATTTGACGGCTCACATACCATATCAGCTAAAATTAAGAGTCTTTCCTCTTTTTTTTTTTTTTCCAATGAAAGTTCCTGCTAAAAAGTTGAGACAAGTTATGGGATCCAAAGCATTATTCATAGCATTAGTGAAGCAATTCCCTAGTGACTAATGAAATACAGAATCTGGGATCTGAATTTGCCACTATTGATTGATTGAAAGTCACTTGTGATTTATTTTTTCTTTGAAAAGAATAGTAAAGTTGTACACATTGATAGATAAGGATACGATGTATTTACCCGTGACATTGCTGATACACCAAGTAAAGCATACACCACATTAGATACAAGTCCCTCACCACAATGGGAGATAACCTGAACGACCGTGGCACTAAACGATCCTTCAGACATACATGTCACAGAATCTAACAGAGAGCTCAGACCCACCTCCAAAAAACCTAGATAGCACAAGAACCGTAAATAAGTTCACCAACAAACACACAGACACACAAGAGTGTTTTGGCAGGAAAAGACAAACAGAAGAATGCACCAGACTTACAAGACAAGTATGACATTGCCGCTAGTGCCGCTCCGCGATGCATAGCCGTGCAGCATATAGCTGCCTTTTGGAAGGAAATTTCAAGAAGAGAACCAGATGCAGCCAATACTTCCTGAGATATTTATAGCTCGAATAGTCATTGAAACTTGAAAAAAAAATTTCCCTTAAAATATACAGAGAAATCTAATGGAAATCCTCCTAAACTTCATATATGCCTAGGGGGGAAAATTGAAAAACCTTATGAGAGCCGTGTATAATCGTGGATGCAAAATTTGTGTATGCCTCCACTAGATCAGGTTCTTGATCGCATATATATGAAGAATTGAGAGCCACTACTGATGGTGCATGCGTAAATCTTTCAAATGTAGTCACAAACAAAGGTCCATACTCCTTTTGGTGACCAAATTCCTCAACAACAACAGAAGCTGAAAGGATATGGACGCATTCCCATTTCCCAAACAAGCAGCATACATAAGAACCCAAACAGAAAAGGCAAGAAACATATAACCACGTACCAGCCAAACAAACTTTAACAAAACTTTTTGTTAGGAAGAAACCCAAGAAAGTAAGAAGACAATGGACCAATACTAGATCCCACCACTTGCTTTTTGTTACATATCAACAGCTTACCTGTTCTGATAAAGCATTCATGACTTTGGAATGACATGTAGTTTGTCGATAGGTAATCTAGTACTTTGGGAAGTACAGTTACGAAGTGCTGGCCTGCGCATCAATCAAATACGATTATTTTATGATTGTACAATAACACAAATCATATAGGACATAGTATAGAGACAAGCATATACAAATAATACCATGGTCAATCAAAAAGTCTAAGCATTTAGTCTTAAATCAATAAACCAATAAAGACCCTCTATACCTGAGGATTGAATTGCTTGTGAAAGAGCACGGCAAGCTGCTACAGATAAGTTACCATTCTCCATGTGTTCAGACCTGAAGAGCTTCTCCAACATAGGCCAAAAAACTCTCAGTAGGGAAATTATAGGATCATCTGAAGTCGGCCCACCAGGCAGGCTCGTAGCTAGATGGCTGAACACAGTTCCCATTCTGTACAAATTAAACAACCAGAATTCAAGCTGTATGAGAAACCATTAAAACACATAATTCTAGCAAAGAGAGATAAGTATTCAAACAGAGAGTTTGAATTGGAAACAGCAAATGAGTTTCGCATGAAAGTTCCCTCATAACTCTTTCATATGCGGGTTCAATATCTACTTTTTATAAAGATAGTGGTCCAAGGAACAAATTGATAGAGCTTAAATTTCAGTAACTAATAAGTAATAAGGCCCAAAATCTCATGCTTTATAAATAGGAACAAAGTTCCTTAAAGATTACAAGCTACACATATAAGCAAAACTATTCTCCCTAAGTCTTTAATAGCATACCTGTGCAACCCTCTGGCAGCGGAGTTTAAAATAGGTGTATAAATTGCCGGATTCTGTTTCAAACAGTGGTTATCTTCATCAACCTGAAACAGCACTAAGCTTTTAATTGAATTTCAGTGTGGTTGGCGTCTTTTGGACCATCAGAAAGAACTTATTTAATTGAAATTTTTTTCTGTTTCAAAAGAACTTATTGAGCATTCCAAATTAATTGAAACTGACAAAAACATCAGATAAGATTGAGCAAGGAAGATCAATAAGGTTGGAACTTGGTATCTGTTTTTGAAAAGTGCTGAGTCCATCCTGTATGCAGACCATAGACTCCATATTTGTTAAACAAGAAATTGGATTCGTTTATTCTATGGAGGCTCAGCAATCTTATATGACGACTGGATAGCATTCTAGTTATCCAGCTGAAAAATGAGAAAATCGAGCATTTCTTGAGTTCTTTCTTCCGCACAGATTAACGATTTCATAAATAATTTAATTCATAATGCTAATGACCAGAAACTGAAATAGGAGAATAACCTAAACGAAAGAGGATGACAAAAGCTACTGTGCAGAACAGAGGAAAGAAACCTTACAAGTTTTGCAATAGATTTAAAGCTAGAAGATAGCAACTGTGCCAACATGTTGGTCTTTAGATCTTTATTAGCAATAGAACCAAGGATCAGACTAATGGCACTGACAATTTCCTCCTCATCATCCATAGGTAAATGTCTCTTTTCCAAACCCTGAAAAGCAGACCACGCATAGTTAAAAGAAACAAGACAAACATGTTACATGATACAGGCCAGTTTCCTTTTGAAGGAGGTTTATGCATTTCAAAATATGCATGTTAAAACCGTTCATAGAACCTTGCAATACGGGAATAAACAATTAATTAAACGTCCGTCATAAGAACAAACATGATTTACCTCTCCTATCCACATCAAGATCTCCAAATTAGAAGGTTCATAAATCACCGCTGAAGCATCTTCACATACTTTGCGCAGGGCGCAAGCACATGCGCTCCAGGACAGAGGTTCTGATAACCCTGTAGCAAGAAATAATCTGAAAGTAGCAAATCAGTACAAAAGGGAATAGTTAATCCACAAAAAATCAACCCTACAACAACAAAAATAATAAAGCTCAATACACCATAAGAACACAAGTTCCCTCACCAATTAAGAAGTATAAAAAGAGACTACTCACAGTAAGGGCCTGGTGCTTGCTTGAAAAGCAGATATATATTTCGAATAGGAACCGACGACGTCTGCAAGAGATCTACAAACCTAGAGAGAAAATCAACATGTCAGATATGTTGAAAATGACACTGAAAATGGATTTTCCATAAAGAAACATATGAGATGTTTGATAAAACTACGATTGAGTCAAACAACGATTGAGAAACTGATATCCACTGTAAATGATAAGAAAGGGATGAATGTTTAACGTACAATGCACAAAAAGCCCTTAAGCTCATTAGAGGGCCTGGTGGCCAACAGATTCACCAATTCCATTACAACAGAGAAATCAAAACTTTGTCCTTCCTGCAAGACAACCTCAGCAACCTGGAATAGGAGCCTTGTATATCAAAGATATAGAACATCAATACAAATAAGCTCCAATCTAAGTCAATCAATTGCTGCCAAAAGTCTTAATGGAAATTGCAAGAGTACAAGGCCAAGTGACCCAAGTAGCTTTTACCAAAGTGCACAAAGATAGGGCTTCTTCATTAGCTTTTAAAAAAAAAAAAAATTTAATAATAATAATAATAATAAACCCTTATGATCCAAATTCCAAAGACACGAATTTCAATTGACAAATAATAATTAGAATAACAACATAATAAAATAACAATAAGACAAGAAGCTTGCTTACTTCTTTTACTATATATTAATATAATAATGATGATGATAGTAAAAGAGGCAATTGATCATGTAAAAATCAAGCATCAGCAATTCAATTATTCCTAATATAATGAAATCCTAGTATAGGCAAAAATATAACAGTAATCAAATAGCAAGTTGTTCTCACCACATTGAGAGCAAACAATTTGGCTTCCACTTCCTTCCAGGGAATTGGTGCATTCACGGAGACCCAACCACCAAATAAAAGCTACAATAGAATTTCACAACATTTTGTAAAAAACATCTGGAATTTACCAGAAAGACTATAACTAAATGATACACACAGAAGACTAATAGAATGAATATGTGCGATCGATGATAAGAAAATTTGTTCAAATCAGAAGTATCACCACCAAACTCACAAAAGATGTCTACTCTGATAGAATAACAATATAGTTATACTTCCATACACACACTCAAAACGCAATTACAGAATCAACCATCTAATAATGGATTGCTTGCAATAGGAAATTTGAATAAAAACATGAAATAAAATAAAATATGAGCACGCCCCACAAGGAATGCAGCACATATAGGCACAGCAAACCATTTGACTAATAAAGACGTGTAAATACATATAGCAATAGATATTCAAAAGTAGTATAAGAACCTTCTGCGTGAATATAGAAGATCCTAAGAGCTGACAAATATCCACCAATAGTTCAACAAGATTCAATCTAAATTGGGCAAGACTATCAGGCAGTTCTGCCACTCCTCTCTCATCATCAAAAGTAGCTTCGTCCACCTGCCAAACACGACTTCATTTGTTAGTCATTTTTCTCATGAAAATAAGCATATGACTTCAAAAGACACAAAAGTGAAATCTATACCAGACAGACCATAATAAAACTAGTAGATTCACTCTTTGACAAAATGTTTTATGCTAGACAGGTGTTATTCTCTTCAATTTATTGTTGTTTCACATGTCTAACGTTTTATTTTGGGATAATGTGACCAGTTATGAACTTACAAAGACATGACTTGTGGCTTTTGATTGCAAAATTCAACGTTTTATGTTTTTCTAGTTTAAATTGAGGCTTAGACCTTGCCTCACTAAGGCAAAATGCCTCGGCACCCAAACTAGCCTTTTGCAAATGTCGATTTTATATTCAGACATAACACAATCACTAAGCCACTTCAGTATATAAAGAGCAACTCGAGCGGGGGAAGAACCTGAGCACGCAATAAGAGTGCATCTAGTAATGTTGAATACACTGGAAAAAACACTCCTTCAGCATGTTTCCTTTTCTCTCCAGTGTCATCATCAATGCCAAGAATATAGCTAGCAAGACCAGACCTGGAAATGCAAATTACGAGGGGTTATCATAATTTTAACTGAAGCAAACAACACATAACTTTCAAATAATAGTTTAATTTAATAATTGCTCGAAAACAAGAAAAGAAAAACTGCCATGAGTCTCTTGAAATTACAATAAAGTATTCATAAAGAACTAAACTAACAAAAAAAAAATAAAACTTAACTAAATTTCAAATAATTTGAAGTTATAACATAAGTTAAATTAAAAAATGAATACAAAAGATTAAAAATATCATGATACATAACTATACAATTCAAATTTGGGATATCCTAATCTAGTTCTTCATCAGTTTGTATACACTTTTATCTAAATGTGGTGATGGCATAATCCTGAAACCATCACATACATAGTAAACGCAGAATAAACTAGCTACATTGCAAACATTAAAATATGAGAAAATTTACGTATCTTGAATGCATAACATTCATCGACAACATGTGAACCCTAGCATCAAATACATCAAATTACAGACAAATTTTATGTACCAGAATTGCAGAGTTGAATCCGCTATCTCCCAGTCTTCACTTGGAAATGCAACACAACTGCCAACATTATAAACAAGTTAGACATGGGCATGTAAAATGCAAGAAAATGAAATTGGGAAATAATCACCACCCAAAAACAATAAAAAAAAACAAAAAACAAAAAACAAAAAACAAAAAACAAAAACAAAAACAAAAACAAAAAAGAAAAAACCCAACAAGACACCAGGTTGTAAGGGAATTTCCCAACTACCCACATGCACATACTCAGATCACAAAGGCTTGGTATTTACTTCCTTTCATTTGAAGGTTCGTTTTTTTGTTTGGAAATTGTCACCTTAGATAATTGATTGTTCTTATTTTTCACAAATTACCATATTAATCACAAATCGGTACGCGGCACAAAGAGAAGTATGAACACCACATTGCTCAAAATCATGTTACGTGACATCTTCTAAGATGCCTTTGTTTATAAATCGTCTGCCTAGGGCAACATAATGCAAAAGATCCTTAAAACTAAATATTTCTAAGGATAAGATTCTAACCTCAAAAGTGCATCTGCCAACGCAAGCGCCTCAGCACTTGCTTCTACAATTAAAGATGGTGCCTGATGTAAATGAATTGAGCAAAATAAATAACCAAATAAAGAGAAATATAGTTATAAATAAATGAACAAGCATCAAATATAATCCAACTTCGAACTTCGTAAAAAAAAAAAAAAGAATAAAATTCATATTGGACACCTACAGCTTGCCCGATCTCAGACAATAAGCATGCAAGACCACCAATAACTTTCTCATCCCCGTTATTCAGAGCAGGGAGAAGAAGACCTTCCTTAAGAAAATGAATCCTACATAACAAAACCTGGGGTAGCCCCTGTGAAAGACACAGAAAAGAAACTCAATGTAGATCAAATCGCCAACTTTATGCATAAGAAGAGAAAGGTGAATATATGTGTAATTCACGATAAATATTTAAAAAAGAAATGTAAGAGCAAAGATAATTTCTTTATAGGAGACAGAAGATCAGAGGTCCTCCCAAGATAAAAACAAAAACTAACAAATCCTCATGTTGCCTCGCAAGCACGAACATACCTCATATCGACTCACAAGTTCAACAAGAACCTCAACGGCCAAATCGAAAGAAGAAGTCACCTATAACCAATTAACACACGAGTGATGTGGCCATCAAAATCTACATCAAATGAATTAATGAGTCTTAAAAAAGTCTACCTGCAAAGAATTGAATACAAAATTAAGAATCGGATGCGCTGGCAACGAGCCATTAGGAATCTCTGAGAAGCAGCCAGCTCGAACCTAAATGCAAGAATGCAACTATAATAAGAAATACCGGAGACTCAAACAAAACATATATAGTAGTAGGTAATATGACAAATTAGAAGAGGAAATAGATGAAATCATTGTAAGTGAAACTAGTGAGTGATTTAACAATAATGCAATAGTGAATTACAGTAGCGATCATTTAGAAATGTAAGAAAACGAGTATTTGGCAGAATTCAACATTCGAACGTACCCAACTGAGTAAGCAACGTAGAATTTTCCGACCGTCAAAGCCTTTCTCGGATTGCTGTAGTAAGAACTCAAGAACCGTAGGAGTATGCATGAGAAGCTGAAGAACAGAGAAAAGGAAGAGTTGAGAGAGAGAGAGAGAGAGCAGGGAAGAAGGAAAAGGATAAGGAATAAAAGAATAGTGTTTAAAAAAAAAAGAAAAAAAAAAAGGAATAACCTCTTGAGCATAGTGAGTCCTGTTTGGAGAGTTAAATTTGGAATCAAAATCAGGGCGTTGATTGTCAACGACTTCTTCAGGGAGAACAGTAAGCATCTCCAGAACAGCAATGTTGCCATTGACATCCTCCTGGCTCTGCAGATTCTGGAGACTGTAAAACAGTTGCTCAATTGGGGGTTTTCCATGCTCGACGGCGCGAAGCACAAGCGCCGAGAGTGCCAAACAGATTTGTGTTAAAAGCTGTCGAAAAGAATAATAACTTAATTTATAACTCAGAAATGAATTGAATTGAATAGATTGATGGTATCATATTAATGATTGATAACATTTTTTTGTTTTTGTTTTTTTTATAGTAATAGCAGTTAGAATAGCAGACAGATTACCTGAGGAGGGCCAGAAGTGAAACGTTTGGCAGCGAGAAGAAGAGCATTAAGGAGAGCATCTTTAGCTCCCAACTGCAGATAATAGCTCTCGTTTTGGATCTGCCGTATTATTACATATGAAGAATACAATTTAATTGATGATGATGATGATGATGATGATAATGTGGTTGAATGAGAAGAAACAGAAACAGAAACAGAAAGAGAGAGTGAAAGAGAATCTCGGGTTACTTTGCGCTTGAGAATCTGAGCAGCGAAGAAGTGAAGGTCGAAATGGAGATGGTCGGAGGTGAGAATGGAGGTGGCGACTTCCCAAGCGGCCTGAGTTTGCTGAAACTGAACCAGCCACTGATTCGCCGCCACTCTGTTGCACGACTCTCTGTCGTGATTCAGCACTGCCACCGCCTCTGCCACCTTCATTTTCAATTCCTCCATGTCTTACTTTCCTATAATATTTTTCTATTTTCCTATCTATTTTCCTTTTTCCTTTTTCCTGAGAAACAAACAGGACGATACGATGATCTCTCTCTCTCGATCAATCAGTAATCAGCGGACAACACGACGACGACGCCTGTTGCTCTTTCCGTTCCCCCCATTCTCATCCGACGGCTCTTAGGGCTTCCCACATCCACTCCACTCTTTTCCCTTTTTTTTTTTTCCTTCTTTTTCTTGTTCAGATATATACCAACGCACACTTTTGACTTGGCAATTCAAAAAAAAAAAAAAGTATTTATCTTCGTTAATTACTAATTAGTAATATACAATATATTAGAAAAATCTATCCTTTCAATATATATATATATATTAGAAAAATCTATAGTTGAATATAAATTACTGCTACAAGATTTCAGACCAATATGATCAACCAACCTCCCATTACGAACAAATACCCTAATTAATTAAAAAAGTAGAAAATAATGTATTGCCCAATATTGTCCAAATTTCCTGAAAAAATGGAAATTGCTTCTCCGTTTACTTCACTTATTGGAGTTTAGAATTTGAGTTTTACTACAGTAAAAAGTTCTCATTACAATAAAAAACTCTCACATAAAATCACATCTCAACTCGAATTACAAACTCGAATCAGCGAAGTGAACGGATCGTGAGTTTTTAATTTATTTATGTGATATTTATTTTAAGGAGTCGTTCTCGATTCTGAATTATAGTTCTTAGTTTTTTATTGTGTTTTTTTTTTTATAAAAAATTTAAATTTTAAAAATCAGAATTATGAATCATGGTTCTGAATCTATGAACCAAACGTCTCATTAAAAATTATTATCACGAGTGCTCCTTAAACTTTAAAATCATTTTCAGTTTACCCTCTAAACTTTAAAAACTCCTACTTTACCCTCTAAATTTTGAATTGTCACTTAATACTTTTTGTTGTAATTTATGTTAAAAACAGATAAAACAAAAATAGTAATGCACTCACCTAACCTTTCTGTTAGAAAAAAATGTTAAAAACAAACAAATAAAAATTACATGACCACATTTAAATCTCTATTTTTTTTTATTTGATTTTAACAAAAATTACAATAGAAGATGTTAAGTGAGAACAATTTACAATTTAACAGATAAATTGAGAATGTAACTAAAATTTAAAGGCACCAATAATAATAATCCTTAATTTAAAAAACCGTCCACAAAATATTTGAAGATAACTCTGTAATTCATCTTCACTGATGATAGCAACTAAAAAGGAAAAAAAAATTTTAATAAAAGAAAAAAAGAAAATTCTACAAGTTTGGGATGGCAAAAAGTAAAAGAAGTGGAGTTGAATGCAACTATGTTACAGGTTTAAGCAGACGCGAAGCATTATCAAATAGTGCTTTTTCGTTTTAAGACAAATTTTCTAAATTTTAATAATAATAATATAATAATAATGTAGCAAAAGAATATACAAGAATTGTGTAATCTATATGACACTTGGTTCAGAATACAAAGGATAATCCTCAAATTAACAAGTAAAAGTAAAATAAATGGGAACCAATTAAATACAAAGCAAGGAAAAAAAATTAAAAAAAAAAAAGCTCTCGTGTTTGTGGCGTTTCTGTTTCTAGACAAAATGAATATATATATATATATATATGTATGTATATATATTATTAGTACTCCACGACGTCAGTGAATAATCAAATTCAAGGGCTCTGAGGGCTGTGGTCTAACATCTCCACAGCAGCATCTTGATCCATAGTAGTAGTAGTAGGGATTTTAGTCCAACCACCCGAATTTCTCATGTTGAAAAGCTTGGCCCTTTCAAACCCACTTCCTCCTCTAAACCCCGTTATCTTTGAGGACACCATTGGCATCACCAGTACTGCTGATGCATTAATCGAATCTTCTCCAAAACCTAATGATAATGCACAAGCGTTCTGCCATTTTCAAGTCAACACAATGTTGAACGGAAGTTAGTTCACTTATTGCCATTTCTCTTCTCTTGCCTAACAGTTCATAAAGTTTATAAATCGACCCCTGAATTTACCTTTGCCTTTACAACAATATCCGACATCTTCATCACCAACCCTTGCATGAATGATCCACTATCCCTACTTATTGCATCTTCAGATCCCACAACCAACCTACATATGTGACCAAAAATCAGTCAAAATCACGTATCAATACCTGTGTCTGACATAAGCACATGCCTATCCATGAGATATTATTATATTGCACTTAACCTGTCCACTTCTTTTGGAATGCTCGAAGACATCACAGAGACTAAAGACGTATTGTCTTTAACTTCAGATCCTGAAAAAGACTTGCATAGTAAGTTGCTATTTCTATCCTCTCTGTAACACCAATTAATTAGTAATATCTCCGCCAACATACCTTTCGATTCATCAGGTGCCAGCAGAGAGATTCCTATGAACACGGACATCATGCCTAGTATGAACATTGTCGTCCTTAGTGCATCAAAAACCTGTTTCCAGAACAACAAATTAGCTTGATCCGCAATAATACATGGACATCATATCCATAAGCGGTTACCCCACCCCAATTTTTTTTTTTTTTTTTTTTTTTTTTTTTTTTTTTCTGTTTTCTTTTCCTTTTATCTGTTGATATTTAAATTACTATCTCTCAAGTGTTGCAGTTGCAGCATCGGTAACTACACTCGAACAGACGCCCTAAGTTGCCTCAATTTCTCAGCCCATAGCACGAGTTGTCTATTTTGCAATCCAAACTGTAAGGGAGGGAGGGAAGGTAGACCTGGTATTCTTGAAAATATATAAATCCTGTACAAATGGAGAAAAATGTCCAAGCAATCTGAAACATAGGTACAATAAGAATCGCATCGAACAAGGACAATCCTTCATTCAACCTAGTCATCTGCAAAAATAGGCGAAGTGGAAAGAGAAACCAATAAAAAAAGTGCAACAACCAAAACTTTGTGCGACAAAATAATCCATAGACCATGGCAAACGAAAATAGTAGCTCTCCCATAAGCATTACCCAGAATCCAGCTGTACTAAGAAACAAAAGGAGCATTGAATACGTGAACCAGCTATGCAACTGATAACTACTAGACATGGCCAACCTTAGCAGATTAGAGCTGCAAAACATGAACTCGAGTCAGGAACAAAATGTAACGGAACTATTTACAAGTGCATCTCTCATAGGGGAAGTAAATTTAGGTGGAAAACTTACAGAGACTTCGCAAACAACACCGAGCATGATCCTACAGCACCTGAAACTATGGCATAGGAGAAAGGAAGTAGCATATGCCAGTAGGGCCTAAGGTCATGTCCCGAAACAGCAAGCAAAAGTTCTCCTCTCCTGCATACTCCGCAATTTTGTTTGCAAACCTTGTGATGGAGGCTTTTATAATTTACAAAACATATTCACAAAAGATGGCACACAACAAGAACGAACCATTGGGCTCTCAGATCTCACCTGTAAATGGAGTGATGTACGGCAACTACTAAGATCAAAATCACGCAATAGAAAAGGAACGTAACATTGCTGTATTTCTCAGCCAATTGCTCTGGAGTATATACTGAAATGGAGAAACATAACATAATGAGTTCCCCACATGAGTTCCTCATAATGGGTGCATCTTTCTTTATCAGGAAATGGAGACCCTATGACTGGTAAGCGAGGCAATTCATGCAAGCCCATTCATAAAATGGGAGATTTCGTCTCTTTTAATCGTTTCTTTTTAACAAGAGGCTTTGTCACATGATATGGAGATAGATATGTACTTGTTTCTATTAATGGGTTATAATACCCAGTTTTGCTGCCATAACACGTTCTAGAGACAATGGTGGTTCGGAAAGTTTTCATCAAAAAATGAGCAAAAACAACTATGACAAAGAATGATTAGATTAACCGACTTAGAAGTTGAGAGCAAAGTGAGGTACCAGGTGACTGATGGTTTCCAAAAGCGACGAGAAAAACATTTCCAAGAACAATAAAAGCAGTGGCGACCATGACGCTGTGTGAGGAAGCAAATCATTAGTCGCTATTGGGGATGCTTTTGAGCAATAGCAAAGTAGATTAAAAAAAAAAATGTATCTGGGGTTGAGATATTTTGTTTTGGTAAACATACTTAACAGTGACCCTTTTGTTCAAGACAAAGTAAGCAAATGCCATGTTGGACACAAATTGAATAGATCCCAAGGCCGCAAGAAGTGACTGCAAAAGAAAGAGAGAATGAAATTAGAAAAGGATTGAGAAGAGAGAGTGAAAATGCAAAAGCAAAAGAGCATAACAATGAATTTGAAAAGAAAGAGAGGGTACCTGAGCAGCATATCCAAAGGAAATGAAATTAAGGCAATTTCCGAGAATGAAAAAAACGATGCCTGCATTTAATATATTATATTTTTAAAAAGAAAAGAAAAGAAAAGAAAAGAAAAGAGACACATAAATAATAGACTATAATAGTGAGAAATGTCTGGCACACATCATGGCATGTGATAATAAGAGAAGCGAAGAGAAGTGATGAAAGGAAACAGAAAGTACCAACTCTCCAAGTCTGGAAGTATATGATGGGCTTAAGAGTGTGTTTTCCATTACTAGTGCCATCACTTTCTAATGAGGCATGCCTCTCTCTCTGCAAAGTAATAGTGTAATTAATTATACAAAGTAAAAGATGAAGAATGAAGCCAAAATGAGAGAAGAGGAGAGAATGCAGCAGCAGCAAGGAAAGGCTACGAACGAACGAACGAACGAACCTCGTTGTGACCTAATTTGAGAAGGTTAGTGCCGAAGTTGATGGCAATGCTTCCGAACAGGTTTATGAATGCTCCCACCACCCACTCTCCCATCATCATCATCATCTCACCGCCAGCATTTAATTTCTTTTTTTTCTTTCTTTACAGAATGAGATGCCCTTTGGTTGGAGAGTAATATCAACTCTTCATCCTCATCTCATCCTAAACCTGCCCAGCGCCCAGTAACTCAATCATAATTTCCATCATTCAATTCCAATTCAATTCACAAACAACAGCATTTTTTATTTGATTTGATTGGATGCATAAAGATCAGGAAAGTAATTTAGAGATTCAAAGCAAACCTCTTAAAACAATTGCAATCCTCTTAAAATTCATAAATAATGTACTATATTTATATCATCAAACTGAAAGCCCCTAAGCCTGCAAAATCTCCGCTCTTTAATTTGTATTTTATTAAAAGAGAAACAAGATGAAACCGGAGCAATTGATCATTGATTGAAGCAACAAAAACACGAAGCAGAAGAAGAAATACAAAGCATCTGAATGCACAAAAATTGGATCTTCTATTAAAAGGAGCTCTGGAACGAAAGTTGATCTAAATCACCAAATTAATATTAAACCCAATGCACTATGCAGCTTTCCTTGAAATTCATAAACCAAAAATAAAATTAAATTAAAAATAAAAAAAACAACATAGAAATAAAAAAAAGAAAGACCTGACCTGCTTCTCTCGTTTGTTCAATCGGAACGGAGCTCTCTCTGGATTCTAATTTTTGAGAAGAGGAGAGGAATCAAATCAATTTCTCTTTTTGCTCGCTGCGGATCCAAGTACCGAACGACCCAACTCCAAAGTCCAACCAAGCTATGATTTTTATTTTTTTTCCTAAATATATATATATATATATATGTGTGTGTGTTAATTACTACTGTTTCCTTTGGTTTTTCGTTGGAGAATGAAAATTTTCTTTCTTCGGCTTCCAAAAAAAAAAAAAATCAAATCCAATCCAATTCAATATGAAAAGATTGTCACTTATGAAGCGTTTCTCTTTTTCTTCTTCTTTATTTTATTTTTAAGGAAATTAAAATTAAATAGGAAGAAGGCTCGGTCGGGTAACCATGCTGCTGAGACGTGAGAATGAAAGAAAGAAAGGTCTCAAAATTTTTTTTTTATTTTTCTTCTTTTTTTTTATAATTAATTTTGGAAGTGAAAAAGGAAAAGAGGGAGAAGTTGTTGCGCTTGTGGTCGTGATTGCGGGGGTTAACGAGACTGGAAGACTAAAGTTGATTTGATTGGTCGCCGTAGAATTTTATTTGTAATTGTAGCCCCCGGGCCGCCACCCCAATTGTGTCGGCTCACGACTCAGCTAAGGCCTTTTTTTTTTTTACCCACATTTTTAAATTAAAAATAAAATTATAATTTCATGATGTAACGTTAAATTTATATATTCTACCAATTTGTAAAAATAAAAGATACTAATTGAATTCACATGTTATACACGTAATTTTATAAGTTTTATTTTTGTATTAAATTTTAATTATTGTGTTATTACTTTTATTTTTTTAAATAACAGAAATCTTTCGTTACATTTCTCATTCTATGAATTTTGTAGCTCACGTGTTAGTTTTTAAGGTTTTCTAATACATCCAGAGATGGAGAGCTACTTAGTTAATATATTTTTGTTATTATGATTTTTGCCCTTCTATTATTACTAAGCCCCTCTCAAATTTTTTTTTTAAATTTCTATTTTGATATAAAATGTTTAAAAATTTTCGTTTACACCTTTATTTGTTACTTTTAACTGTACACTATTACTTCATTTTTACTCAAAAAAAAAGGGTCAAATAAATAAGAATTGCAATATTATATATTGTATCAGAAAAAAATTATAATATACATAGGGCTTATATTTTTTAAGTTAATGTAATTTTAAATTTTCGGTCAACTCAACACCCCTTAAAAAAGTTTCTCACTTCGTGACTTGAGTACGTCAAATAGGTTTTGGTTGGATTCGTGTCCAAAGTTTATTAGCTCTTATCTTCATACGGATTTAGCTTCCACTGATTAATAATTAAAAAAAATCACTAAAGTTAAAAGTGAATTAAGTGTATAAATAAAATCAAGTAAAAACACAAAAATTAGTTCACCCTTAATTAACGGCTACGTACATTACGGTTTTTGAAAAGGGGAGATTTTTACTATGCTTGAGAGTTTAGATAGCCTAATTGCCAATAGAATGGATTTAGGACATTCAGTAAATAGCAGATTTATAAAATTAAATTTAATAAATAATAAATTTAAAATTATTTAAAATAAATAATTATTTATCACATAAATATTTTATTTACGATTAGTAAAAAGATTTTTTTACATAAATTTTTTTATGACTGATAAAAAGATTTTTACTGTATAAATAAATATATTTTATCATGTAAATTATTTTTTATCAGTCACAAATAAAATATTTAAACGGTAAACTGTTATATATTTTGAACAGTTTTAAAATATGTTATTTATTTAATTTAATTTTAAAAATATGCTATTTACTATGATTTTTATTAGATCTTTAATTCGCTATTTAGCCATTTAATGTGATAAATTGCAATAAATAATGTACTTAGAAATTATCTTGTTTTCCTTTTCAAAATTCCTTCTCACCCCAACACAACACTCATGTCAACCCTTTTAGTTTGCTCAAATTCCAAGACAATGGGGAGCTTCCTGATTTAAAATCCCCAAAAATTAGAAATCCATATCTATCTATTTATAAGTGAGAATGGGTTTTTAGGGAGCATTTCGTAACTTTCGTTGTTGCCTCCTCATTTTGTTGCCCCTCTATTTTTGTGATAGTCATTAATTTCTTGAGATGAAAAGATTAAAAAAAGATAATTCACGCAATCTCACGTCGCCAAATGAACATAAGTGATGGTTTATAAGAAATGTCACCACATTCTAATAGTACGAGGCATTTTAGAGTGAAGTTCAAGAGCAAAACCGTAGAAACTCATACTTAAAACAAACAATATCATACTAAGTGGAGGTACAGATCGTTACAATTTTTTTATTTTTTACTTTCTTAGCTTTTTTTTTCTTTTTTTTTTTTAGTTTTTCCTTTATTCTTTTTTATCCCTTATCTTTTTTATTAGATCTTTTAACCTTTAATTTTTATATATTTTTAAATATGTCTCATTTAAATACTTTTCTTACGGATATTTAAAATATTATTTTTTTAATTATCCTGCTAAATTAATTTATTTTTAAATGTATCCATATATAAATATTTTTTTACCTATAATCATCATAAATTTTAGCTTCAATTGCAAAGTGCGCATCTTTTTACTAATATATCCTTATGTGTGATTATTTCAAATCCTCACTCTTAAGCTTAACGAGCTGATTGGTCATTGTTAGGGTCGACACTAATCACCTTACTTGGCATATCCATGAGACAACCTAGTTGAGGCAATTATTTCATAAAACACTATCTATTTTTATACTTTATTTAAAAAATTCTTGTAAAATGAAATATTAAAATACATATATAATTAGTCAGAGACCGATTTTCTCTTCAACTCACCACCTTTAGAGGTGTGAATTCAAACTGCTCGGTCGGACCTAGTCCATGCCCAACAACGCAAATGGTGAATTCAAGCTGACATGCTACAAAATATGGCTGGTCCAATTTGACACGAAAAGCTTGGATTAAGCTAGCTTTGTTTTTTTAAAAATAAAAAATAAAAAATGAAAATAAAAAGTTACACTTAGGGGGTGTTTAGTATGGAGTAATCTCAAGGGTGGGAATGAAAATCTTTCAGATTCTCATGTTTTGTACAATTATTAGACTTTTTTAAAACCCAATAAGTGAAGCCCATGGGTTTCACATTATCACGTTTCGAGGTAATCCTAAATCTATCTTGGAGGGTGTTATTTACTTTCCCAATAAAGTTAATATCACGGGAAAGTTAAAAACTGGGTGTTATTTACTTTCTCACATTTCTCCCACCTATTTTTTCCCAGACCCAACTGCCTCTCTTGTCCACTGTTCTTCCATCGACACCGCCGCCGCCACCTTCCGTCGTCGGACTTTCATGTGCCGCCACCACCGTTAAATTCGCCTTCCAATCCACTACTGCTCTACCCCACTGTTAAATCCTCATATCCAACAATGGTCGCCGATCTCCTCGTCCGCCCAACCCTTTGACCGTCCCACCATCCCCGTGACAGTCACTTCCATCGGCCTAGCCCCGAATCGCCTCCATCTGCCTAGCCTCGAATCTCCTTCGTCTGCCCAGCCTCGAATCGCCTCTATTTGCGCAGCCCTGTGACCATCGCACCATCACCCCGTGATCATCGCGCAGCCTCGTGACCAACCTCGAATCGCCTTCGTCCGCCCACGCCCGGCAAAGTCCAATCCCGTGTGGATCTGGAAGAGCAAGAGGGAGATCGAGAGGGGTGAGAGTGAGAGGGAGTAGTTTTGAGTTTTGTATTTTTTCATAATATTTAAAAAATCCACTAATAGTATTAATCTTATAAGTTAGTAAAATGGAAATAATAGGACTTAATTAGTTTCAAATTTTTTTAAATTATTAACTTTATAAGAAGGATTACATTACTATGCTCAACCAAACACCGTAAAAAAAAATTATGAGAATCTAACAAAAGATTCCTAGGCATAACTAAATATGATAATGTAAGATTCCAGAGAATTATATTACCCACCATCACTTTCTCAGGTATTTGATTCTTATTGTTTACTGCATACCAAACGCCCCCTTAAGGGTTTAAATCTTCGGCTTGGCTCGATCTGAACTCAAAGATTTAAGTGATCTTGTAGGATTGGGCCCGGGTCAAAGAGTCAGACTTCAGACCTTCAGACCAACTCCTTTGGCATGGTCCTAATCGAAATCTATAAACACACTCTACTTATTAAATTTGTGATTTTCTATTTTCAGAAAAAATGCGGTGAAATAAGTTTTATCCCCCCTCAAAAATAAGTTATAATTTTTTTTTAAGAGAAAAATAAGTGTATTCTTAATTGATATGTCTCCAAAAGAAGTGGAAGAGTACAAAACTCATTATGAGACCCTAACTCCCCAGCACAGCGAACTTGTTTATAATAATATTCTAGATTGAGAGCCAAGGCTAGAGAGACAATACCCCCCAAAAATCAATACCAACCAACATTACCAATTCATTGCTTTATATTTTGCTCTCTTAGTTGATCGATCGTTATTCAACAGCCATTGGTAATGACGAGCCAACCGTTTATTTGCATTCTTTACTTTACAAAGCTAAAACTTTGCCCTTTCCTTTCTCCGTCATTCATTTGCATTTGACGAGTCTTCCACCAACCTTAACATAAAACCATATGCAAAGCACAAGAATCTTCCAAACAAAAATAATCTTCTAAACAAGAATCTTCCACCTTGTAATAGGATTGTTAAATTTGTGACTTTGTAAAGGGGATTTTCGGAGGATTTTGTGTCGTTTTGCTACGTTTTTAGTTTTCCGTGTGGATAGATAGATAAATTCCTAAATATGCTTATAATAAATATTTTACAAATGTAACTGGCGTGTGTATAAAAAGATTATCCTCAACTTCTAAGTAATGCCTACAGGATGGAAGTGTGATCCTGAAATACACGACCACAAATTTTCTGCAAATTACAAAGAATACTATTTGACCAGAAATACAACGTCTTTTCATGGTGATGCAAGAAATGGCAAAAGCGCTTCTGGCTATTAATAAAAGATGGTTCCTTTCCTTCCAAAATTTTTACAAACTTGCCTTCAGAGAGAAGCCAAATTGTCACCTTCCGGCCTTCTAGTTTTCACGTCTCTAGTCCAGTTATGTCTTGAAAAAAGGAGGGGTATCTACTTAAAAGAAATATTATCATCAACAACAACTAAAAGAAATATTATCATCAAACTTAAAAAATTTTAACTGTCAACTTAAACACCAACTACTCACCTCGGATTAATTTGCATCTACGTCTGGTACTTTGGTGGTCAAATCCCAACAGGACATCTACTGCTTGCGAGGCCTCTCAATATGTTTGGATTTCGAACTGCCTTCACGCGACCAAATCTTTGTTTCGTAAAGATCATAGGGATATAAGTCCCGCAACCGAAACATACACTCAGGCTTCTATTTCACCGTGAGCCACGTATCATATTGAAGA